ATGCTGATCCTTTAATCCCACCAGAACAAATTTCTACCCAAGTTTTTGTGCCACAAGAATTTTTCCCACCAAGTCTGCAAGCATGCACGAGAGCTGATGCCTTGAGGGACAACACACCTGCACAGCCCACCAAACCTGAGGAACTTCACGATGAGTCGTACAAGAAGGCTGAGATCTACAAGGGAAAGAATAAAGTGCTTAATGGCAGCCCAATCCTTCGTCAAAAAATTCAGCCAATTCAAAGGTTATGGGTATTAAATACAAGATTTAAGTCAGTTCAGCGAATACACAAGCTTCAATGGGAAGGGCCCTATTTGATTACAAAAAGTCATTCACACAAAAGGGAGGACATCAAGAAAGATTCAACCAATGAATTCAAATGCACAGTTCAAGTCAGTCCTTACCTACTGACACTCTATGATGCTGCTAAGGAGTGGTTAATTTTGAAGGAACAAGTGACGTGATTATTAGCCTCATTCGTCTACGTCTAGCTATAGACGTTAACTAAAACGCGTCTAGCTATAGACGTTAACTAAAACGCTAATCGGAAGGCAACCGAATTTTTCTAACTCTTTGCTTTTATTTTCATTTTATTTTCTCGCTTTCATTAATTATCACAATATCACAAAAATAAAATAAAATAAATCAGAAAATTGAAGAAAACAAAAATAGAAATTATTTTTCAGTTAGTCAGTATTTTATTTTTGGATTTTACTCTAATTAGATTTTTAATGTGTTTTTGCAGGTTGCATTTGGATTCGATCGGCCCTAAATATCCACTAAGCGTGCACAATTGACTGAATCATGCATTCAGTAGCATTCATATGTTCATCACAACAAATTCATTATCACATTCATAAGAATATTCATGGGAGTCAAATTTAACACAAATGCAAGCACACGATACAGAGCGAGCACAGGATGAGGTCCAGGGATACTCACAGTGAGCATGCTGAGAAGACCTCTATGCTAATGGACCCCTTTCTCTCATACTTGATTCAAAATATAATTACATTCAAGTTTGGGGGAGGAGTCCAAGTAGCACAGAGGTGAGACCGTTGTTCATGTCCAAGTTCAGATGCAGATTCACACGGAAATTTGTTTCAATATTCCTCATATGGCGAGCACGCAAAGCACAGACAGAAACCAACTGGATTTCTGAGACATGGAGGCAGCAAGAAGATAAAGGAGGGCATCGCAGAGGAGTGTTGACTGAACTCGAATGATTTTGGTTTGGATAGTTCTGAAATGGAAGGCCGAGGTGAGAAGAATGAGAGACATCTCTCACTTTCTAGAGAGAGGTTGGCTGAAGTTCTGAAGAAGGGGTAGACATAGGGACCTGATTTTTTTCTGCGAGGGTTTATTTTGAAGGAGGTAAATTGTCTCTCCTCCTATTTATGTGATCACGGTTAAGCCACGTTAACGTTTTATATTCTTATTACTTTTTGTTTTATTATTTCTATAAAAAATTAATATAAAATGTTCACATCGCTTAACTGTGACCACATATCACAGGAGGGCATGAGGAGAGTATAGAAATGGAATGTTAGACAATCCACCTCCTATTTTGAAAGAAGGCAGATTCTCTACCCTCCGACTTCTCGTGCCCTTTTGTTTTGTGTGGTCGCTGTTAAGCCACGTCATCATTTTATATTATATTTTTATAAAGATAATAAAATAAAAATAGTAATATAAAATGTTAACGTGACTTAATCGTGATCACATAAATAGGAGGGCATAGATGAGAGGACAGAAAATCTGCCTCCATTTTGAAAATGAAAAAGAAGAGAACCATGAGGTTCTGGGCTCAAGGTTAGTGGAGGGGAATCCAATGTGTGTTCAAGAATAGCTAGGGTTTATGGAGCATGTGTGTGGCGCGCATGTGAGCTACCAAGTGGGCTCCCTATTGTTGGCCTGATTGTTTTCTCGCGGCCTAATTCCAATTTTCAAGGCTTTCTTTATATGCGGGCCACCAGCAATTGCCATCAATAATGGCCCATCATTCAGCACGTGAGAGGCTCAGTGCCTTTTGTACCTCATCTTCTTGAGTTCGAAATCCCAGGTCATTTCTTTCTTTATTCTTCTCTCTGTTATTTTGTTTTTCTGTTACTTCTTTTATTCTTTTAGTTATTTTCTTTTTAGTTTCCTTTTCATGATTTTGACTAGTTTACTTTCTTTACATTAGTTGCAATTGTTTTTATTTTATAGCTTATTCTTTATTTTCCACACCTTGAGGCCAATATGTGATTTAAGTCTGGGGGTGGAAAATAAGAAATTTTAGTTTTTTAAATTTTGTATCAGTTAAAAATTTTCGTTTTTAAGTTAATATTCATAGATTATTTTAAACATTATAACAAATGGACATGGTGAAGGTTAATCTCACACTAGAGTCTTTTCTATTAATCGTTGCTTAAACACTAATCCATGAGTTATACTTTGAAAATTTGCATATTCACACCAACATGGTTTGTGGGGAGTGAGATTGTAAAACTTACTTTTCGTCTAAGTAATTTTTAATTTTTGTTCTAAATAAAGTAAAATTAGTTGTTATCAATAAAGTAATAATTGTTCCACCCGAGATTTTGCTTACTAACCGGGCCAGTCCTGCCTGATCAACAGTGATTCTCGTGTCAAACAGTAGAGTCTTGACATGGGACAAGGTGGTTAGTTGGTTTCGTAGCCTTTTCAACTCGAGTTAATAAGTCCTTAGAGGTGTTCTACACCTGGTGCCCTAAAGCCTTATGGTTTGGGAGTCATTGACCTAAAGCTCGTTACATGAGTTGGATCGAAAGCTTAAGGGAACTGACATTGCACGACCACCACTGTTACTAGAAAAAGTAAAAGAAAAGGAGAAGAAAAAAAATAAGGAGAAAAAAGAAAGAAAAAAAATATATAAAGTTATTATGTGTGAAGTGTTAAATAAAGAGGACGAGAGGTAGGGATTTTAGTCGAATCTCCTAACTGTGTTGGTTCACTTTTACACCAAGGGAAGTTCATGAATTCTTTTCTAATTGATTCTAAACGGCTTAGAATCTGTGGTGGGATTAGTTGGCACTTTTGGAAAGATGTTTTGATTTTTAACGTTTTCTATGGGTTGCAACTTGAAGGTGAAAATTTTGTCTTAGTTATTTTTTTTTGTTTAAGTTTTTAGTTTGTTTTGCTTGAGGACAAGCAAAAGGCTAAGTTTGGGGGTATTTGATGAGTCCATATTATACTATATATTTCACCCTAGTCTTAGTATTAGTTATTGGTTATTTTGGTAGAATTTTGATACTTTGTTCAATGTAGGACATGCGACTTCCTCTGGAGCAAAAAGTAATCAAACAGATGAATTTTGGAGTGATTCTAATTGAAGGATGTTCATGATTCTTTCAAGATAATTGTGTCAAAGTTTCAGATTTTTCTATCAAGCCGTTTGACCGTGCCGATGAAATAAAGGCCCAACGTGCAACTTTTCCATATTGATGTTTCTGGACGTTTTGGGTATTTTGAAAGTCAAGATGGCATATTTTGAGAAAGATTTCTTCTGAGGATTTGTAGGGGACGTCTCCAGCTTCCAAAAGAGACATTTTGGACCAAATCGGAGTTGATTTGGTCGGTCAAAAGTCTGATTTTCTGAGAAGTCTGAATTTCAGTTTAAATAAGAAACCTTTTATTTTATGTTTTATTATTTTATTATGTTTCTTAGTTTTATTCTAAAACTTTTTTGGGTTTTATTTTGTAGTCGTATAGATAAGATTTTTTAGCCATTAGGGTTAGAAGGGAAGGAGAGGTGGAAACGCACGCACAAGCCTTTGACAATTCAAGTTTATTTTCTATGTGTTTTCTATCCTTGTTCTTAATAATATATTATTATGATTGTTTGTAACTAGTTGTTTTGCTAGGGCGAAGCCATGAGTCGTAGCATGAATATGAAATTTTATTAATTTTCTTATGAATGGATGTATGCTTGCTTTGAATTATTAATCACCGCGATTAAAACTATGATTGAAACGGAATATCCATGTATGATCAACAATAACATGAATGCATACGATTAAGCTAAACATAGGTGATATTTCCATGAAAATATTGAATTAAAATTAATGATGTAAATAGATTTTGAAAATAAGTTTTATTAAAACTTACTGCAATGCAGATTACAAACTGATTTTGCCTAATGGCAGATGATGATTGTAAACAGAATGGAGCTCGCAGGCATCCTTGATAGTATATGTATTACAAGTGTTTGGATTTTTTAGCCATTAGGGTTAGAAGGGAAGGAGAGGTGGAAACGCATGCACAAGCCTTTGACAATTCAAGTTTATTTTCTATGTGTTTTCTATCCTTATTCTTAATAATATATTATTATGATTGTTTGTAACTAGTTGTTTTGCTAGGGCGAAGCCATGAGCCGTAGCATGAATATGAAATTTTATTAATTTTCTTATGAATAGATGCATGCTTGCTTTGAATTATTAATCACCGCGATTAAAACTATCTAATTGTCTTAGTGATTCGCACCATTAGGGTTTTTAGACAAGTAATTTGATGCAACTTCTGTTGGAACATCACCCTGAAATTGATGAAGACTTCTTGTGATTAGTAATTGTAAGTTCACTTAAGGCGAACATTACGCTTTTAAGGGTTGCATGGTTTTTCAAAGGGTTTTCATAAAACTTAATGAGTCTTGCATGTTTATATTTGATCTGAATATCACAGACGGGTTGCATGTTTGATATACGTTTTCGCTTGAACATCACGAGGAAAATTTGTATTAGGAAAACCTAACCTTCAAAGCATGTATGTAGAAATTCATAAGTAATTGGTAAAATTGCATAGGATTGTTATGGTGACGGCGGAACCCTAGACTTTTACAAATTGATTTTCTTTAAATTGTTCACCAATTAATTTATTTAATTGTTTTATTTTAAAAAAAAAATTTGTTATATTAAATTCTAAAATCAACATTTTCCAAACTTTGTTCTAAATAATTAATTAAGAGTTTGTTTTAAACACAAATTATTCATTCAATCCCTGCGGAAAACGACCTTACTTGAGTTGCTATACTACGACAACCTTGTACTCTTGCAAGTATTTTTAAATATTTTTATCCCTACTTTTGCAGGTGGTAAAAATCCTATCAACTTGTCCACTATGTTCTGAATATTCGTCTCCACTGTAACCACCTTTGAGAACTTTTCTGTAGATAATTTCACTGTAAAAAGAAATCCATGTTAGAATGCGTGTCTAGTCATAACATGTTTAATACTTCTTAGTGGACCATGATCAGGATTTTAATGTTGTATGTCAATACATAAAATAGAACAAAGCCACTAACAATCTAAAATATCATATAATTTATAGTGAAATTCTGTTGATATTGTTGCAGGTTTATGTTATACCTCACTCTTTTAAACCTTCTAACCTCTTGTACATTTTCTAGTCTCCTTAATGAATATTATACTTTCATAAAAAATGAAAAACAAAGAGTATTTGCAACGTCACAGATGCATCGCAATTGCAAGAGTAATAATTATATGAGAGTAGAAAACTAGCCAACTTACCATTTACATTACGGTAGAAAACTAGCTAGTGGAAAACTAGCTAACCTTCCACTAAGGTAGAAAACTAGCTAAGTGCAAAACTAGCTAACATTCCACTAAGGTAGAAAACTAGCTAACTGCAAAACTAGCTAACCTTCCACTAAGGTAGAAAACTAGCTAGTGAGTCTTTAAGTTGTACTTTCTACCAGGGCCGAACATTTCATAACTAACGTGTAAGTCACTTTCTGCTTTCTATGATAATTCTCTCTGTTTTATATTTTTGATTCAGTTTTATTCTTTCATTAGAGGAATTTTTTTCAGTGTGCCAGAAATATGGCTCAGTACACGTGTAATAAGACAATGGTTGATTTGTTTTTTTTTTTTTCTTTCAAGTTTCTAACCAATTGTATTAGTACACTTGGTGTACCTGACTGTCTTTCTGACAACCTGAAAAGTTTCTCCTTTCACTTAACCTGCAAGCTTGACATGGCTTTCTAAATACCTAATTAAGAAAAGTAAGTTACATTTAACACAATTTCCGTATCACATTTGCACCACACATCTAATAGAGGTGAACCCATGAATACATTTGAATTCATCTCTATTAGAAATGAGGTACCAAAAAAAACCATGTTAGATAACTTTTCCGTAACCATTTTTAGATAACTTTTTTGTAGATAATTCCACTGTAAATAAATAAATACATAAAACAATGTTAGAATGCGTTACCAATTAAGAATGTTTAACTGCTTCTGCAAAAAGGGATTCAGATTGGTCCAAGACAGTGAAGATGCTTTACCCAAATGAAGGAATAGACTTACTATCACAGGAAACTCATGCCTCCTCTCTACGAAGCTTTGCTGGCTCTCTGTGTTTTCGTCACCTGCAATTTAGACCAAATGCATTTCACCCATGAAATTCTAAATCCATAAACATCTAAAAACAGAGAACAAAAAACCAATAAAATTGTGTGTGCGGGTGTGCATGTTTCTCACTTAACAGTACAAAGTAACACCATTAGTACATAGTACTTAGTATCTTTTCTTGGATGCGAGAATCGAAACTAAGACATCTCACTTACAAGTGAAAAGGAATATCACTTGACCGTAGTATCAAGTGGCTTTTTTCTTGGATATTTAGATATGAAAATCAAGGAAAATTAGGATTTAATCGGTTTCCAATCCAAATAAACACAATGGTTAAACATATGTTGACACCTCGCTTCTCATTCTATACTCTTTAAGTTATAACCACAAAAAGTAGCTAGGTTCTCATGTGCGACTTCACAAAAATCAGGATATAAACAAAAACACAGTTCAAGCACAAATAATATATATATACACAAAAAAATATTTACTAGGGGAGTATAGCCTATGGAGCCTTTTCATGACACTGGAACTGTTTTCTTGCAAAGGAGATGGGCAAGAAGCATCCCGAACTTGTTTTCTGCTAATCTCATTAACATTAGTCCCACATAATAACAAATATGGGATTAGACTAACAGTTAGTTCAGTCTAATCCAGTGATAATTAGTAAGGGCAAACAAACACCCTCATAAATATTAGTAAGAGATCAAGGTCATTGTTAGATGACGCAAAGACTTGGGAATTAATAGCCACACAGCCTTGTTAGTCAATGGATCAACGCGGTTTTTAGCTTTGATTTGTCAAACTATTCCGATATCCACATAAATTTCTCTATGAATTTGATTGATATTTTCCTACAGCCTTGTGAATTAATAGCCACCACAGCCTTGTTAGTCAATAGAAAGAAAATTGGAACAACGCAGTTTTTAGCTTTGATTTGTCAAACTATACCGATAAATATCCACATAAATTTCTCTAAGAATTTGATTGATGTTTTCCTACAGCCTTGTGAATTAATAGCCACCACAACCATGTTAGTCAATAGAAAGAAAATGGGACCAACGCGGTTTGTAGCTTTGATTTGTCAAATTATAAAGATATCCACATAAATTTCTCTAAGAATTTGATTGATATTTTCCTACAGAAAAATCTGGATATGCCTGCTCCCACACCTTGGAGACTAATCTAGCAAAATTTCCTGGCAATGGATTTGAAATCTAAAATAAAATCCCGAAAATAAAGTTTTTCTTTTGAAAAGACATAACTTAAAAATGAATTACTACTAACCATATAGATATAAGCAAAAATAATAATAATAATAATAAATAAATAAAAGAAAGAAAAGTTGATCACATGAAAATAAACCAAATGCTAATATGAATACTTGAGAACTCCATTAAGTTGACGCGATGAAAGGAGCCAATTTTAGCGTCCGAATTAGGTTGCACAGCTGGTTTCTGCATTCATGCCGTGGTTGACGGTTTGGGGAACACAACAAACAACTTTGGCAGTTGCAATAATTCTTCAAAAATGTTATATACTCTTACTGCATTTTTCATATTACATTTGTATCACCTCTTTAATAGGATGAGACCACAAGTATTGGTGAGTCGTACTTCTATTAACAAGATGGTACAAATGTAGTAAGTATATCATTGCTCTTCTTAATTAGCTCTTTAGAAAGCCATGTCGAGCTTGCAGATGTAGTGAAAGAAAACTGAAAAGAAAAAAAACCGATAAAGTTATCATAGATAGCAGAATATGACTTGGACGTTATTTATTAAATGTTCATTTTGGGAAGAACAAATACGATATGAAAAACGAGGTAAATGTAGCATCACCCGGGAAAAAAAGGTAAAACATAAAGACTCGCTAGCTAGTTTTTTCTAGCGTAGAGGAAGGTTCATGCAAATGGTACATTGGCAAGTTTCTCCTGCAGTTGCCTTCATATGAGTACTATCATAGTTAGTACTCTTGCAAATTGCAATGCATTATGCGACGTTGCAAATACGCTTGTTAAATCGATGTCATCTCGGTACGTCGGCATGTCGTTGACTAGATTGCCCGGCTATGACTCCATGTCGTCTCATGACATTAACAAAAAAATAAATAGGGAATTGTTATTGGCACTTTAAAAATCTTATTCTACACTCCAAATTTTTTATATTTAGAAAGAAAAATACACTTGTGAGGAGTGTAGAATAAGATTTTTGGAGTGCCAATAACACTTCCCAATAAATTAATCCTTGATAACCATGATGTTATTGTTGATAAGGATGCACACATTTTCTAGTTTCACGCACGCTGCTATTTAATCATGTTTCTTGTTTTCAATTTGTTGGTCATAATAGAGAGAAATGTGTGGGAAGCTGATACAGGTGTACGAAAATCATTTCCCTAATTTATATTGTTGATTTGTTATTGGAATAGTGCTATTTGAGAACATCACTACTATAAAAGTGATATTTGTTAACTTCACATCTATAAAAGTGCTATTTGATAACTTTTTTTTCTGGATGTTTTTGTACAAAATGATACATTTACACTTGAGGAGGTGGAGAAATAAATCTACCTGGGGTAGTATAGCCTATGGAGCCTTTTATGACACTGGAATCGTTTTCATGCAAAGGAGATGGGCACGAAGCATCCAGGAGGTATCGAGAAGTGCCCCGGAATTGTTTTCGGCTAATCTCATTAACGTTAGTTTTGCATGATAACAAACATGGGACTAGACTAATGGTTAGTCCAGCCTAGTTCAGTGATAGCCTGTGAGGGCAAACAAACGCCCGTTACTACTAGATGACGCAAGAACTTAGGAATTAATAGACATCACAGCCTTGTGTCAACAGAAAGAAAATTGAATCAACGCGGTTTTCAGTTTTGATTTGTCAAACTATACCCATATCCACATAAATTTCTCTAAGAATTTTATTCATATTTTCCTACAGACAAATCTGGATATGCCTGCTCCCACAACTTGGAGACTAATCTAGCAAAATTTCTTGGAAATGGATTCGAAATCTAAATAAAATCCAATAAAACCTCTCTTTTGAAAAGCCATAACTGAAAAATGTATTACTGCTGACCATATAGACTTAAGCCAAAAATAAAAAATAAAAATCGAACATGTAAAAAGAATTGCTGGTCTCATGAAACTTCTCCAAATAAGTTACAAAAGGAAGTTAGAATTATCAAATGCATTAACAAGAGAAACCTTTCCAAGAGGTTTAAGATTATTGCAGCTGAGATAAAGCCTCTCCAAAATTGTATTCTGACATATTATCTCACATAATTCCAAAATTCCAAACAAACATAAAGCTGATTTTACAAACAAGCGTTATATGTCTCATAAGGCGAGGCGTAAGAACACCAAATTAAAATGGGTTTTTATTACATGTGGATTGCACAAAATAAGGGTTTTTTAATGAAATGGTCCCTGACATTGATCCAACTCCTCATATTGGTCGCTGAGTTTCAAAAATCGACAAATTTGGTCCCTGACTTTCAATACCACACGTCAATTTAATCCGTCCATTAAAGTTTCATCAATATTTTTTGTCTCACTAATCCAATCATAAGGCTCCACATAGATTAATTATAAGAAACTATTTTTTTATGATTTAAAACTAAAAGTAAAATAAGAAACTAAAAACCAAAACTAAAAGAAAAAAAGTCATTATTGTCTTCATCAGGGTAAGCTCAAAAGGGAAAGCGAGGCACCATGACACCATTAAAGTACTTGGCCTCCTGAACTCACTCTTCATTCTCTCTAGTTGGTTATTTTCTTCAATTTAAATTAAATTTGGATTTGATTTTATCGAATTTAGATTGACTTTATTTCCAGTTGGGGTTGTGGGATGCGAGAAAAATGTCAACACAAAATACTCGTCCGTTGGTTTACTCTTTAAAAAAATAGTTCATTATAGTTCATTCACGTGGAGCCATACGATTGCATTAGTGGGACTACATCAGCACACAAACGAAAAATATTGATGAGATTTTAACGGAATGACAAGTTGATGTGCGATAGTGAAAGTCAACAACCAAATTTATTCATTTTTGAAACTCAAGGACCAAAATGAGGAGTTGGATCAATGTCAGAGACCTTTTGCGATAAAAACCCTTATTTTGTGCAATCCACATGTCATCATTTCATTGGATGTGTAGGTCCCACATACAAACTAACATAATAGTTGACGAAATTTTAACGGAATGACCTAATTGATGTGGGATAGTGAATCTCAGGGATGACATTGATTGACTTTGAAAGTGAGGGACCAAAATGATGAGTCTGATTAATCTCAATGACCATTTGTGATAAAAAATAATATAAAAAAAACCAATTAAAATTGCATAATTAATAAGAACAAGAACCAAACTTTATTGACAAATTCCAAATTTCCAAGCAAACATAAAGATGATCTTACAAATTAAGATCATTTACAAAACATACAAAATGAAATTGCAAAACGGGGAAAATCCACCTCATCATCATTCAAAAGATCACCATGCAAAGTTCAAGCACTGTGATGGGATTTTATTTAACGATAATAGGGTATTATTACTCACTAATTGGGTCGTCATCACGGGTTCTCTCTAGGCATCCTAGTTCCAGTTAGCACATCCCTTATTAGACTCAATTCAGCTACCACATTGCCCATGTCTTTTCGCTCTCTCGGCATCGCTACGGAACAAGCAACTCCTACTCTTGCAATGGAAGTCAAGCACTCCACAACCGTTCCTCTTCGATCATTTGGGGCATGATTCCCCCTATTACTTGTGGGATAAGTACTGATGCTACTTTCTTCTATTTGAACAATTAGTGGATCACATATTTCTCCCACACGTTCTGGTAGAGCCATCATAACAAAATTGTGCAGGTCCATACCACCTTTAAACATGTCATCTGTCGGCCTCTTGCCAGTTAACATCTCCAACAATAGTATTCCGTAGCTATACACATCGCCATATGTTGACACCTCGCCTCCCATTCCATACTCTTAAGTTATATGCACAAAAACATAGCTTTGTTCTTATGTGTGACTTCAAAAAACTCATGCTATATACAAAACCATACTGGAAGCACAAATAAAATATATACGAAAGAAAATTTACCTGGGGGAGTATAGCCTATGGTACCTTTTATGACATTGGAACTGCTATTGTGCAAAGGAGATGGGCAAGAAGCATCTCGGAGGTACCTTGCTAAACCGAAATCACCAACACAAGCAGTCATGTCACTGTCTAACAAAATGTTGCTGGGCTTTATATCACAATGAACTATTGCCATGTGGGAGCGGTTGTGCAAATAATCCAAAGCACACGCTACATCGATGGCAATGTTAACTCTTTGAGTGAGATTCAGAATCTTTGGCAGATTGGCTGGCCTATCTACTCCTTGAGCTGATATGTGCAGCCACTCATCTAGGCTTCCATTCACCATGAACTCATACACCAGGGCTTTGAAATCATTTCCTTTAAAGTCAATGCTTGAACAAGCAGTCAGTAGCTTGACAAGATTTCGATGCCTAATGCTTTTCAAGGCTTCACATTCTGATATGAAGCTTTTAGAAGCTCTTGAGGTTTGAAGATTGAGTACTTTCACTGCAACATTTCTTTCTTCATGCTGATTGAGAACTCCCTTGTATACGGACCCGAAACTTCCAGAACCAATCAGATTCAAAGCAGAGAACCCATCAGTTGCTTTGAGGAGATCTCCATACGACAGTTTCAAGAGTGAAAACCCCAGTGATGATTCTGAAGTTGACTTGAGCGCCCTAGCCTTTCTTGATCGACAAAGAAGCACAAGTAACAACACCAAGACCAAGCCGACAACCCCACAGGAAACTGAGATAATTAAGTTCATCTTAGGAGATCACCCGCGCTTAGATTGCTTGGAGATGCATTTAGGCAATCTTAAGTGAGGTATACCTCCACAAAGCCGTGTGTTTCCCACAACAGATACCGCACTTGCATTCTTAAAAACTCCTTGGATTGGTACTGCACCTTCAAAATTGTTAAATGAAAGGTTCAAATTCTGCAAGAAGGGGAAACTCCCCAAGTAGTTGGGAATTATGCCAGACAAGTTGTTGCGAGAGAGGTCAAAATATTCAATTCCTTTCAAAGAGCTCAAGGATTTAGGAATTGTCCCCTGCAATAAATTTTCTCTCAGAGACAGAGTCGTCAAACTTGTGCAACTCTCTAAGCTTTGTGGAATCTCACCAGATAGCTTGTTTTCAGAAACATTCATGAAAACAAGATGCTGTAAGTTGCCTACTTCCATGGGAATGGATTCAATAAGTTGGTTTCCAGATAGATCCAACTCAACAAGTAAATTGCTGAGTTGTTTTGGAATTGGACCGCTAAGATTGTTGTGGGAAAGATCCAAATATAACATAAACCTGCACCCTCCGAGACTTTGTGGTATGCTTCCATTTAACTTGTTTGAGCTGAGACTCAATCTGCTCAATAAAGTTAGATTTCCTAGAGATGATGGAAGATTACCTGACAATTCATTCGAACCTAGAAATAGGCCATAAAGCTTATTCAGTTTACCTATTGAACTCGGTATGGTGCCTTTCAACAAATTTGGAACAAAGCTTACTATCTCCAAGTTGATAAGATTTCCAAGCCCGATGGGAATGTTTCCGTGTATCTGATTACCACCAAGATATATTTGCCTGAGCTTTGTTGAGAGATTGCCGATAGATTCAGGTATCACTCCTTTAAAATTATTGAGGCTGATAAATAAAACTTCTAATTTGGTGCAATTAACTAGAGATGATACGAAATCCAAGTCACCTTCCTCATTATTTCCAAGATTGTTTTGCTGAAGTGAGAACCAATACAAATTTGACAGGCGTGCCAGAGTAGGCACTTTCCCAGTAAACTTATTGGATGAGATAGAAAATAGTGAAAGGTTTGAGGAATTGGAGATTGAAGCTGGTATTGGTCCAGTGAATTGGTTGGTATGGAAAACAAAGGTTTCGAGGTTTGGAAATATGGTGTGGGCCAAGCCAGAAGGAAGAGTTCCATGAAGGTTGTTTTGAAACACTGCAATGACTTTAATTGACGAGAGGTTGTATATGGAGGGAGGGATGGTACCATTCAAATAATTGCCAGCCAATGAGAAAAACACTAAGCTTTTCAACCGGCCAAGGCTATTTGGAATACCTCCATGCAGACTATTTCCAGATGCAGCTAGCTTCTGAAGAGAAGAAAGATTCCCAAAAGAAGTTGGGATTTTCCCATGAAAGTTGTTCACGCCAAAATCAAGTACTTGAAGCTTGGACAATAAGGCAATTTCAGTTGGAAGTTCGCCACTAAGAGTGTTGCCAAATAAGCCAAGGGACTGGAGGTTAGAGCAACGTGATATGTTGAATGGGATATGACCACTGAAGGAGTTGTTATTAAGGACTAGTGCTTCCAAGCGGAACAAACGACCAATTTCTGGAGGGATGGTGTGGCTGAAGCTATTGTTTGGGAGGCTTAAAATCCGCAGAAAGCTCAAGTTTCCAATGTGGGGGGATAGGTGGCCTACCAGCCCGCTTGTAGGGAGGTCGAGCACCGTAACCCTTTGGTGTCTCCGGCCACAAGTGATGCCTGGCCAATGACAAAAGTGGAGAGACTCATTCCAAGAGCTAAGGATGCCCAGGGTATCGGTCACGATTTCAGCTTTGAAGGCAAGCAAGGAAAGCCTATCCACCTCATTTCCCGCTAAACGCGAGGAGGAGGCAGAGCTAAAAAGAAAGAGAAGAAAGAGTGGTTGGATGAAAATAAACCAAATGCTAATATGAATACTTGAGAACTTCATTTTAGCTAGGCTGCAAAATGAAGCTCTGGATATTTAACCTTAGGTAATCGTAAGTTGACGCAAAGAAGGGAGTCAATTTTAGCGTCCAAATTGGGTTGCAGGGCTGGTTTCTGCATGCATGCCGTGATTGACGGGTTGGGGAACACAACACATAGCTTTTGCACTCGCAATAATTCTTAGTAAACAGATAATCATCCTTAGATGCTTAAATAACAAAAATAAGTCGGTAACCATTGTTCCTACCATCTAACTTCTCCAAATTATCACCTATCTTTCCAATAACTTCCCATCTTTAAAAGAAAAATTGTCACCTATATATCTCCAAATTCACAAACCAAAAAAAATTCTACAGTACCTCACTGTACATTGAAAGACCATCAAAAACGCAATACATTAAATTGAACTGAGTCAAATGCAAAATAGAAGATAACTGGATCCTGAAACTAACTGTATATGGAATTCATATAAAATTTTCAGCTCTAAACTAGTGTTTGAGGTTCAGTTGATTGAAAATTTTGGTTCAAAGAAACTAACACTGGATCCTAGCTACGCTAATGAGATATTAGGTATTCAACAGTTTTGCACGTGTAAAAGGCCAGCAAATTAAATTCCTACTAACAATTGAGTGTCAAATATGCAAAAAAAAAAACCGAGACATTACTCACAAAAAATGATTTAAAATGTCCATCACTTATGCTGGCAACAAAGGCCACGCTTATTGAGATAATGAACAACTTTCACTGCAAACAAATAAATTGAAAACAATAATAAAGACGGAGAAGACGACTGCCTTCGTTGGGTCTCATAGTTGGGAACTTATTTTTTTCTTCCATAAATATGGGTTTATAATGATCTGAAGCTACCATGAACAAAAATTGAAAAGGATTAGAGATTTCTGGTTCTTACCCAAATCTGAGTGTACCAAGAACAAATTTAGTCAATTAATCAACTAAATATTAATACTGTGTATTGTGTTTTAATTCCAAGGTATGTTCTGCATATGCATCCACTGTACAATTTGGTGGCGCAGGAATAGTTTTATGGCATCGAAACAATATGGCTTCTCCCCGGTCAACAAAAGCTTGTTTTTAATCATTTGAGAACAAAGTTGACATATGCAGCAATGAAATTTCTGCAACTGCAAAATGGAATTCGTTTACTAAAAATGTAAATAAAATTTCCTGCAAAGTAAGTGAACTAATCTCAGCAATCTTATTTTAACTTTAATAGAAGACTCATACAAACGGAACAAATAAAAGTTTAATTTTTTAGCAAAATAACATAAACTGATAAAAAAAGAAGCTAAACTCCAAAAGTAAATAATAAAGTAAAAACTTTCAACTGGCAAGTATAGATTAAGCTGATCCTGTGAAATTACTCAATTCTTTCGGTTTAAGATTTTTTAAATGTGCTTCAACTAAATACACGTGCGTATAGATGCTTGTTAAAGCACTTCTACGCAGATGGTTAATTAATTTCAAAAGACGGTTTAGTATACTAATTGAAATGACAATGAAAACTTTTGAATATTCTAGTGATCAGTGTTTGCAAGGTGAATCCATCCATATAAACAGGAGGCGCTTACTCAAAGCAACATGGAGATGCTGATCAAACACATCAGATATCTGATCTCCACCAAGTTATCTGCAGTTGGAAAAAAAAAAAAAAATAGTGAAATGCTATTACACCAAATTCATATGAACATTTCCAAGTAAATTCCCACATAATTAATTTTAAAATAAACAAAGAACATATTTCTTCTACAAAGAAATGTCACTCCTGTTCCTAATGCAGATTACAAAGACAAATAAACGAATTTAACAATAAAGAATAACAAATGAGGAATTAAATATTTCCATGTGATCTGAAATAAGTGAAGAACCTCACATGATCCATCTGATCTCTCTTCTTTTTTCTTGAAATGCTTAGAGGCAGCTTTCATCACTTTATTCCACACATAAGCATCAATTACATAACTTCATACGTCAAAATGTGACCCATCCCTCTCAAATTCCATCAATCCTAATCTTTTAGCAGAAAAACTCAAGTTATCAATCAAACATTAAAAAAACAAAAAACAAAGTACGAATCTAGCAACACAGAGAAGAGAAAAAAATTGAAGTAAATGAAAGAATATGAGATCTGAGGGACATACATACTTTGCATGTTCTAAGTTTCATGTGTAATCCTAGTGGTGATGGCTGGTGGGCACAGAGGCTGGCGACAGTGATTCTCTCTGGCAAAAAATGCGAAGAGGGATCTGCAAGAGTGTGAGAGAGAAATTCCCAAATAAATTGCAAAAAAAGCATCCAGCTCGTATAATTTTTCAATTGCAGAAAACCTTGAACAATAAACACAACCCATTAGAGCAACTCCAGTGTTGCTGGGTGCTCAGGGGACAGGCCAGAGAAAAGGGACCCGAGGCCCTGTGGACTGGCTCCAGCGTGAGGGAGCACGAGTGGAGTTGTAGGCCCGAACTCTGGATCCGTGGAGAATTGCCAGCCCAAGAGCCCGAGTGGATGTGACGCTAGTGCTGACGTCAGGCCATTTTAAAAATTTTTTCTATCAGGCGCGTGCACCCCACCCGCTCGTGGAGGCGTGTCACCGACACAAAATCAAAAGAAAAACAATGACTTTTCAGTTACCGTTGGGAAGCCACGTGGCTTCCCACGGTCCGTTCGATCTCAACGGATCTTTAATTTGGACCGTTCAATCTCAACGATCAAAAAAATAAAAAAAGTCTTATTTAATATTCACCGTTCGATCTGAGATTAATGGTGGATATTAATATGCTTTATAAATAAAAAAATTAAAAAAAAATAGTTTTAAAATTAAGAAAAGTTACCGTTGTGACACATAGCACAATCTGGAATGTTGGAATTCAAATTTTTTTATATCCAACGGCAGAGATTAATTAATTGAATAAAAATTAAAAAAAAATTGTAAAAAATTAAAAAAAAATTGATTTTTTTTTAAAAAAATTGTTTTTACTTTTCTATAAATACCTTCTCATTATCATCTACCTTACACCAAAATTTCATATTTTCTCAATTACTTTCAATCACACTACTTTCAATCACATTCTTTTCTTTCTCTCAAAGTTTCAATCCATTTTTTTCAACAAAATGACTACTGATGCAAGTACAAATTGGTCGCTTCTTGAAGATGTTGCGTTGTGTACTAGCTGGGTTGAAGTTACTCAGAGTTCACTTACGAGTAATGAGATGCAGTTGCAAGAAATGTGGAGTCTTATTCATACCAATTATCTTGAGAAAATTGATGGGAAAAGAACCAAAGAATCGATATCCAGTCGCTAGAAATTACTTAGCCAATCGTTTAATACGTGGAGAGACGTCTTGGCACAAGCTAGTAGTAATATTCAAAGCGGGGAAAATTACTCGGATCAAGTAACAATATATTATTTATTTAATACCCAAATTTACATTATAATTATTTGTTTGTATTATTTATTTGTTACCTACTTACATTATAATTATTTGTTTGTATTATTTATTTGTTACTTATTTTCATTATAATTATTTATTCTCCCGCATTGTGTAGGAACTTCAAGCACAAGCTCGGTACGCTGCCAAAACCAAAAGCAAAAATAAATCATTTAACCGGTGGAAATGTTGGAATATTGTCAAAGACTCAAGAATGGTTGATTGCTCCGCAAAACCTCATCAGGGACTCAAGAATGGTTGATTTCCCCATCCTCGTTATCTCATCCACTTGGTCTGCAGATGTTTCATATGCAAGCATCCGCAAGGAAGTAGTAATTTTTTGCTCAAGAAGGAAACCTATAGCACTAAAAGCATCCTTCTTTTGCACAAAGTAAGAATCATGGTTGCAAACAGCAATCATGATTTTGTTGAACAAATGTTTCATTCTAAAACGACGTCTAAAGTACGTATCAGGGAATGTACTATTAGGGACAAAATAATCGTCCAAAAATTTCATACCTCGTCATTGCATGCTTCTATCAAGGTTTCTGCAATGGCTGGGCCTGCAGATCTGAGCAACAACTTGGATGACTCGACGGGAATGTGAAGCTCTGCCCATTCTTACTTCGTCATCTCTCCTTCTATACTCCTCATCCTCTTTCCTCTCATTTTTTTCTACCTGGTGATTGAACATTCCTTCTGATTGGTTAAACAATTCTTCCTCTTCCTGATCGAGTTCCCACATCATCCTTGAGAAAGAAGAAGACATTGTAAGAAAGAAGCAGAAACTATGAATAATGATACAGATTTTTATGAAGAATGAAGCAGAAACTATGAATAATGATAAAGATCTTGAGAAAATTGGTGTGAGATTTGTCAAAATGGATGGTAGATTATATGAAGGATTCAGAAAGGATTAGGTTGTAGATAATACCACGTGGCATGTCATCATTCGTTAAAAATCTAATGGAAATCTATCTTCAAAGATTGTAAATAAATTATAACATGTGGCACAACGTGATTGGTTAATAATCTTATCAGAAATCCATCACCAATAATTGTATTTTCGGATAATGACACGTGGCATAATGAGTACGATTAAAAATTTTATCGGAAACACATCCTCATAATTGTCTTCTCAGATTTTATGACAAGTGGCGCAACGAGAACGATTAAAAATCTTATCCGAAATTACAAATAAAATTATTTTGTATTATTTAATAATACTTCAGATAATGACACGTGGTGCGACGAGAACGATTAAAAATCTTATCCGAAATTACAATTAAAATTATTTTATATTATTTTATAAATAAAAAAATACTAATATTTTATTACCTATTGTCAGGACTATTGAAGTGTAACGGTAGAGATGCAAAGGCTATTACTGTTCATTAAGGACAGTTACTGTTCATAAGATGAATTGAATAATGAATAGCCTGGGGGAAGGGCTCCAATGCTAGAGTTGCTCTTAGAGCAGATCCACCCCAGCTTTTTTTGCCCAGCACCCTATCCAATTAACAGCCCGACACCTTGTCCAAACCCTCCAGCCCGTGAAACAGCCTGGCACCCAGCCCATGCCAGGCAGCAGGCCAACCCATTTCGGACAGATCCAGAAACCGGTCCAAAACGTTGGCGCGTGCACAACACTCGCGACTGGGCGCGAGTAGGAGACAGCGCTGCAGCGCGCTGGCCCCGCGTTTCAGCGCAAGTTGGCTTCGAACGGGTGAGGGCTACGTGGCCCTCCTCAGAGTCGTTGGATTTCCAACGGCTAGTTTTTGTAGGTCGTTAGATTTCCAACGGTAAAAAAAATTTAAATTTGACTTTTAAAATGGACCGTCCGATCACAGATCAACGATTCACGTTTTTTTCACCAAAAATAAAATTAAAAAAAAAAAAAAGGCCCAACAGTCAGAATTTTGACCGTTGGCCACGTGGCAGCTGATTGACTGTTAGATTTGATTATTTTTCAAATCCAACAGTCCAGATTAATTACAACATTAAAATTTATTAAAAATTGTGAATTTTTTTTAAAAAATACAGAAAAATTTTAAAAAATTAATTTTTTTTTTTTTTTATAAATACCTAATCCTCATCTTCCACCTTACACCACATTTCAATATTTTCTACACTTTCTACATTTGAATATTTTGTACACTTTAAGAGAAAAAAATGACTTCGTGAAAGCTCAGTGAAGATGTTACGTTGTGTGAATGTTAGGTTCACACTACTCATGACCCGATTACGGGTAATGAGATGGATAAGCGAGAAATGTGAAGTAAAATTACGAAATCGTTTTGCTATATACATGAAAAAGATGTACATGGAAAAGACATTGTAAGAACTCAATATTTGAAAATGATAAAGAAGAATTCTGAGCTAAAAAAAAAGATTGAGTTTAGTGTGAGGATGGATGTAGGGATGTAGGGTTTATATGAACAAAAAAAGAGAAGATGAGATTCTAGACAATGTCACATGACACTACGTGATTGGTTGAAAATCTTATCGAAATCTTGGCTAAATTATTGTAAATAGGAAGTGACACGTGGCGTGTCAGAATTGGTTGAAAATCTTATCAGAAATCTATATACAAAATAGTACGTTCCGATAATGACACGTGACGTGACAAGATTGGTTAAAAATCTTATCAAAATCTTGCTTAAATTATTGTAAACAGGAAGTGACACGTGGGTTATCGGGATTGGTTGAAAATCTTAGCAGAAATCTATTAAAAAAATAGTACGTTCGGGTAATAACACGTGGCGTGACGAGATTGTTTAAAAATCCTATCTGAAATTAAAACTATTTTTTTTTATTATTTTATAAAAAAATTATTTAATATTTTAAATTGACTGGGTGCTAACACATTTTGTAGGGGTGAAGATTGTTTGTGCCAGCACATTTTTTTTTTGGTGGAGATGTTTTAGCCTATTATTGTTTATTAGGGTCTATTACTGTTCACTGAAGTGGATAAATGGGCTGGATGCTGACACAAAGTCTTTAGGGGTGAAGTTGCTCTTAATGTTTAAGTGAGACCATAAACAATCATACTGGTACCATACCATCACAAAGACGAAAAACGCCACAGCAAAAACCGAATAATCCTCCAATGTGACCACATGTTCCTTAGCTTCACATACGCCGAGAACACTTCCCAACAAAGGGACGGCCACCTCTCCTGATATAAAACCAAACCATACATCCAGTCCAGGGGCCTAAGGACATGCACAACAAAGGAATTCATAGATAAAATCCATGCAAATGTGAAAAATCAACATAAAAAAAAATATGGAATGAACGATGGTGAGAAAGTCCTAAAACTCACCAAGAAAAGGACAGATGCAGCGGCTAAAACAGAATTAAAAAAACCAGTAATAACGATAGACAAATCAGAAAGCAGCAGACAAAACCTTTGATAGCAAGCGGTGAAAACAACAACAGAAAGACAAAATTTCCAGAGACTGGCTAACCGGCGCGAGTAGAGAGAGATGCGAAAATGGGAACGGGAAAAAAAATTAGAGTTTCAGAGACAAACAAAGAAGAGTCCCAAAATGGGTGAAAACGGCAAGAACAAGAAAGAAAAACCTAAAACCAACAAAACAACTCGAAGTAGGGGACAATAGACGCATGGCCAGCTAGGGCAAAACCGATGATCAACACATGTAAGACAGGGGCCGAAAAAGCAGAGCAAAACCAAAAAAGAAACGAACCAAAGGCGGAGCACTGAGAAGCCCGCAGGCAGCAAGGCCAAAACGGCAATTTCACTGGGAAACAGGAAAAAATAAAAAAGCCAAAAGACCATTTTGAGGGGCATTTCCGTCCGCACACTATAGATCAATAGTGCCATCCGAAAACTCAGTTTTAGTATATATAAATTTCTCTCCATGTTAAAAAGCATGTAAGCAGAGAGACAAAGGATGTGGTTTCTATTACCGGTAGGATTAGCTTGTAAAGACTTGTCCACTGTGTTCTGAATATTGGTCCCCACTGTAACCACCTTTGAGAACCTTTTTTGTAGATAATTCCACTGTAAAAAGAAATCCATGTTAGAATGCGTTTCTATTCATAACACGTTTAATACTTTTTATTGGACCATGATCGGGATTTTAATGTTGTATGTCAATATATAAAATAGAACAAAGCCACTAACAATCTAAAAATATCATATAATTGATAGCGGTATGTACTTTTGGTAGATAATTTGTAATCAGATTGCAAAATATTGGGATGTCTAGTTCCCGCAGGAGTGTGTTATCCTTCGTAGAAAGGATACTTTTTGATATTTTGTACTTGCCCAGATAAAATCATGGCTAATACCTCACACATCTGTCATAAAAAAAATAAAAAAAAAATCTTAAACACAAAGATTCATCATTATAGCCTAAATTAACATCGCATTATCATATCGAAACAGACAAACGTACTCAAACTCAAGTGCCCCACATGCTAACATCCAACAAACCAATCAAAACAAAAGATGCATAAAAGGGTCTTGACTTTTGCCAAATACACCACAATGAAGATGCTTTACCCAAATGAAGGAACAGACTTACCATCATAGGAAACTCATGCCTCCTCTCTACGAAGCTTTGCTGGCTCTCTGTGTTTTCTCACCTGCAATTTAGACCCAATGCGCAGAGGCATTTCACCCATAAAATTCTAAATCCATAAACATCTAAAAACAGAGAACAAAAGACCGAGAAAACCGTGTCTGTGGGCGTGCGTGTTTCTCTAGCATATTTTATCAAACTGGTGATAGGCATTGAACAAAAGATACATATGAATGCAAATGTTGTTTGTAAACTCAAATGGAACGCGTAAAATTACACTCTACCATGGTTTGGCAATTTCATTTCATCAAGTGATTTCAAATTCAATAATCATAACATAAAAGAAGAAATACAAAAGCTTACAGTTAGAAGTCACACATCAGTTAAGGAGTTGAAAAATAAGCAAGCTTGCTTAGGGAACTATATTTACACCTACATAATAATAAATACAGCAAGCTAGGACTGCTGAAACACTCGAAAAAGGCAAAATTCGTTTTCATTTCTTCCCAATATCAAAAAACTAAATATAACAATCGATCCGCTTTAAACCCAGAAATTTGAAACCAAACTCTCACCAAGGAAAGTACCAAAACTCTGAAAATTTTAACCCTTAGAGTTCACTCTTGTTATAAAAACTGGAAAAAAAAATCCATAAGTTCTATGAAAAAATGTAATACTAGTATACTACCCAAAACCATAAAAGTGCAGAAAACAGCATTCTCCATATACATGAAAAATGAAGAACTGATTGATTCCCACGTATTCAACTTTCATAATACACAAAAATTACAAATTTGGTTCCACAAAATCCCAAAAGGGAGAAGCAAAAAAGAGAAACTAAAATGTGAAGGATGAGGGTCTGCAGCCCTGATTTTCATATCCACAAACGCACAAATTCTAATATTTTTGATAGCATGCGCAACCCAACACAAAAACTAAATAAAAACTTAAATAAGACATGAATCATCTGTGTTTTGCTTTGCAAACAGCCAAGGGGATAGGACTAAAATAAATTCCCTGACCAACAACCTCTCAATAACCAAGCTTGAAAGCATAAAAACAAGCCCTTCAATCTTTGTGTGGAAAATTAATACCACAATAAATTCAACCTTATGTCCACAATTAAGAATCAAATTTCATAAAAAAATACAAAATTTACAGAATTTCACCCAAACATAAAGAGAATAGTATTGTTAGATGCTGCGAAGAAAAAACCAAGGACGAATGGAAGATGGGTTTTACCTGAGGACTAGAGCTGGGTACTGAGAAAGAAGAACTCGAGCTGGGAAAGCTGAAAACAGGAATCGATAACCCATTAAGAAAAAATAATAAAAAAAGCCATTGATGTGTAAAATCTAGAACGAATTGCGGAGAATAGGGGGTTTTAAGGGATATTTCTTTTAATTAAACTTTCACTTTAACCTTTATTAAACTCATAATTTAATTGGACAAGGTCCGAAAATCCACTCACTGCAATGGTATAATTTTCACTTAAACTCATCGCATACACAAATCTACTAATCCTTTTTGTTATCATCATGGCATGATCTATAACGTGAGTTTAGTTAAAATTCCAAAAACCCAATAATAAAACAAAACATTCAAACAAATCTAACACCAAAAAAATTAAAAAAAAATACCCATAATTGGGACAATTTAATTCCCTTAGTTCTAAAGGGAATTATCCAAGATCGACCAGAACACACAATTCAGATTGGGTCTCGACAACAGAAAAACAAACAGAGAATCTTCATTTCTCAAATTTCAGAGAGAAAATTTAAGATTTTTGGACAAAAATTGGGATGAAAATTATGACTTCCACCAGAAAACCAGATCGATGGTTGAATCCAATCAAAAGAGAGAAGCTTACCCCCGGACTGAAGCTCGAAGAGCCTGCTTGATCGCAGATGTAGTTCTACTGCAAGAGAGAGTTGGAGAAGCAAACATGAATCAACAAAGAAGCAGTGGATGATTAACTTTAAGAACAAAATTGCCACTTCAAGCTCCCCAGCTTTTGACGGATCATGATCATACTCATCATGAGCTGACCATGAAACCAAAATCATTACTTTGACAAATAAATATAACCAACAACAAAAACAACTAAAATTTTCAAATGGATTATGCCAAAAATTACTAGCCGAATTACTGAACACGATGATATTGAGTCGGAAAACTGATTTGCAATGCTCCAACGACGACTCAAGAAGGCCAAGGTGTCAAGGAATAAGGTGCAGTGATACTATTATCCTTATCGAATACAATTATACAACACAAATGTATGTGCTGCACTTGACAGGCATTGTAAACTTGTGAAGCACAGCTTTGCACGTTTTTAGAAGTCGAGCCTATGCATATGAACGTAAAATGTTAAATACATTTTTCCACCAGTGTCTGAAGCAAATTTTAGATACATATTGAGATCTCTATGGTTGACACAGGCTTGGAGCTTGTGAAAGTCACATTTTCCATTGATTCAATATCATAAACCACAATTTTATTCAATTAACCAAACCCAAATCAAAAGAACCAAATTTTAGTCAACAACTAATCAAAATAACATCACACAAACCCCAAAAGTTGCACCAATTCCACACAAAAGTTTTAACTTGTACGGAAATTACTACAATCCGAATCAAAATTCCAGTGTTTAACACGCAGTGCTTTGGAACTGTGTAAATAATTTAAAATCAGAAAAAAGTCCCAATCTTTTTTTAATCTCACAAAATTTAAGCAAAATGTAATCCCTAACAAAGATTTTGGAGAATGGAAAGGCCCAATTCCACCCAATATAGATTAAGATAATTACAAAATAATTCAAATGGAGGCAATTTGATCGAAATTTGCAGAGCAAAAAACCCTAAAAACAACAGAAAGGAAAACCCAAAATATAATGAAGAACAAAAATCACTAATCACATAACCAAAATTAATAAAAATGAAAAAAATCAATATGCATGAAATACCGAAATAAATAATCAGTGAGGGGGAAGAAATTGATCCCATGTTGGAGCTTTTTCGTTCCAATCCAAATCGAGCAGGAAGGAAGAAGTTGAGGAGCAGGAACGGGCTTGGGGGAAGTGAATTAAACTTACGAACCCAATGAAGGCCCACTGAGTCGGGCTAGCCCAACATAAAGCGTGCCGATATTTTTTCTGCGTGAGTTTTGCCTTTGGGGGCATTTCGCTCGGCATTTCGGTCATCGGTGCACTTGACTTGATCATGGCCTCGTTCACTCAGCCCGAAGACGACTCAGTCCCGACCACCGGCTCAACTCGCCCGTTCGACAACGACGGTTACCTGGCTACGACCCCCGACTCTCCTCCCAGTGATTCGACTCCTTCGTCGACTCCGAGTCGCTCAAGGACTCTGCCACCGATTCCCCAATCTTCCAGGGCTCCGCCGTAGACGACGCTTTCGCCACTCAGCCGGCGTCGGAGGCCTTCTCTCCTCCGTCGATCTACGCCGAATCGAACGGCCAGGGCTTTGATGGAGAGTTTGGCGGGTCCGATGATCCGATTTTGCCGCCTCCGTCGGAGATGCTGCCTGAGGAGGGCTTTGCTCTCAGAGAATGGAGGAGGTAGGGATTTGAATTCTGATTGTTTGCGATTGAACCTATAGTTCTGTATAGCAATTAAAATTTGATTCTTTTGTGCAATTTAGTTGAAAGTTGTTGGTTTTGATTTGGCTTGATCTTTCTGTTGCTGAGAGACTGAGTGGAAGTTGTTGTTTTGATTTCGGTAGTTTTCAAGAGTTGCATGCTTAGTGATCAGTAATCTTCTTTCTGATAACAAATTGATAAATTGATTGTTCATCTAAAAAACTAAAACTTGTTAAAATCTTTATGAATTTCATGATTGTTGTAAAAATTCTGCAACTTGAAACGCTCCAAATAGTTTGGAATTCTGCCGGAAAGGTTGCTATGAGAAAGATTGAAATATTCAACCCCTCTTAAAGAATTCAGGATTCAGGAATTGTCCCATCCATTAAGTTCCCTCTCAGAGACAGAGTCCTCAAACTCATGCAACTCCCAAATGGTTTTGGAAACTCGTGCAATTCCTGAATCTTTAAACCTCCAAATAGTTCTGGAAATTGACAGAAAATTATTTACTATGTTTCCATTGTGAGCAATATTTACTATGGAAAACTAATGAAAAAGATTTGAAAATTTTGAGTTTTGACGATAAGAACAAAATAAAAGGTAAAGTGAATAGTATCATGATTGATTTTTTAGTGTAAAAATAAGATTTTTTTGTTAAAGTGAATAACATCAAAATCTTTTCGTTAAAGTTCCTTATTTACTATGTTTGGAAATAATGTGTGGTCCAAGCCAGGAGGAAGAGTTCCGTGACAGAAAAGTATTATATTGAAGAGAGGTTGTACATGGAAAGAAATAATAAACTTTTCAACTATCCGAGGCTATTTGGAATAGCTCCATGCACATTATTTTTGGCTACAGATGATACTTCAAGACAAGTAAGTTCTCTAAGTTGTTTGTTTTAACTTTTATGTAAATGATGATGTGTAAATGAAATTTTAACTAAAATTGACGCTTTTTTGTTCAAATTTGTATAGTTATGCAAAATGATGTGCTACAAGGTTGAACTCAATAAAGTTGGGCAAACCTAAACCCAACCCGAATAAATCTGAACCTACTTCAAACCCGAACCTGACTAAACTGTATGAACCCAAACCCAACTCGAATTGTAAAGGTTGGGTTAGGGTTGGTTTGACCATGCAACACGCCCAACCCGCCCAGTTCCACACCTATCTTTATGCACTCTCTCTTATCTTTCTCTCTGACCTTCGCCTGCGACCCTCTATTTGGATCTATGTATCAATCTAATTAAATTAGTATTAATGTTCAAATCCACAGGGAGTTGTTGTAGGGTTTTTTTTTTTCTTTTCTTTTTAATTATTAAAATTTTAAAATCATTTTAAATCTCATATTAAACAAGTTTTTAAATCTTAAATAAAATTGTTTTTAAAAAATATTTTTAAAAATTATGAAAACATTTAAGTACGATACCAAACACGCCGTAAACACACTCTAAATAAGATTAACAATGCAACAAATGAGCAATTTGAGTAAATTTATTGACAATGCAAGAGGTGTGCTTAACGTTTATTTTTGCAGGCTGTGTACGAAAAGGCTTGCGCGCGCGCGCACACACATACATATACATATACATATACATATACTTATACATATATATATATATATATATGATTAACAATGCAAGAGGTGTGCTTAACGTTTATTTTTGCAGACTGTGTACGAAAAGGCTTGCATACACACACACACACACACACACACACACACATACATATACATATACGTATATATTTTTGCAGGCTGTGTACGAAAAGGCTTGCATACATATATATATATAGACACACACGCGCACACACACACACATATACATATATATATGATACCAAATTTAAATTGACAAATTCTAACTTAAAATTGCATAATTTAATTATAAGAACATGAACCAACCTTAAATTGACAAATTCCAAATTTCCAAGCAAACATAAAGATGATCTTACAAATTAAGATCATTCACAAAGCATACAAAATGAAATTGCAGAAGGGAATATCCACTTCACTTGTTTCAGTCCTCCTCGTCATCATTCAAAAGATCACCGTGCAAAATTCAAGCATTGTCATGGGATTTTATTTTAAGGGAACTTTAACGAAAAACTCTCGGTACTGTTCACTTTAACGAAAAACCACATTTTTACACTAAAAAATCAATCATGGTACTATTTACTTTACCCTTTATTTTATCATTATCATTAAAACTCAAAGTTTTCAAACTCATTTTTACACTAATGATAACAGGCTATTATTGCTCGCTACTTGGGCATTGATCACGGATTCTCTCTAGGCATCCTAGTTCCAGTCAGCACATCCCTTATTAGACTCAATTCAGCTACCACATTGCTCATGTATTTTCGCTCTCTCGGCATCACTACAGAACAAGCAACTCCTACTCTTACAATGGAAGTCAAGCACTCCACAACCCTTTTTCTTCAATCATTTGGCGCATGATTCCCCTTGTTACTTCTGGGATTAGTACTGCTGCTACTTTCTTCTATTTGTACAAGTACTGGATCACATATTTCTCCCACACGTTCTGGTAGAGCCATCATAACAAAATTGTGTAGGTCCATACCACCGTTAAACATGTTATCTGTTGGCCTCTTGCCAGTTAACATCTCCAACAACAGCATTCCGTAGCTATACACGTCGCCATATGTTGACACCTCGCCTCCCATTCCATACTCTTAAGTTATATGCACAAAAACATAGCTTTGTTCTTATGTGTGACTTCAAAAAACTCATGCTATATACAAAACCATGGTGCAAGCGCAAATAAAATATATATAAAAGAAAATTTACCTGGGGGAGTACAGCCTATGGTGCCTTTTATGACATTGGAACTGCTTTCGTGCAAAGGAGATGGGCAAGAAGCATCCTGGAGGTACCTTGCTAAACCGAAATCACCAACACAAGCATTCATGTCACTATCTAACAAAATGTTGCTGATATCACAGTGAACTATTGGCACGTGGAAGCAATTGTGCAAATAATCCAGAGCGCACGCTACATCGATGGCAATGTGAGATTCAGATTCTTTGGCAGATTGGCTGGCCTATCTACTCCTTGAGTTGATATGTGCAGCCACTCATCTAGGCTTCCATTCACCATGAACTCATACACCAGGGCTTTGAAATTGTTGTACTTGCGTCTGTATTAATTTTATTTCTTGGTCGTTGGAGGATGTCATATAGCAAACATTAAGTCATCCAATACTACAACGTACATCAAATACATAAACATTAAGTCATCCATTTGTGATAAAAACCCAATTAAAATTGCATAATTCATAACAAGAACCAAACTTAGATTGACAAATTCCAAATTTCCAAGCAAACTTAAAAATGATCTTACAAATTAAGATCATTTACAAAACATACAAAATGAAATTACAAAACAGGAAAATCCACCTCGTCATCATTCAGAAGATCACCATGCAAAGTTCAAGCACAGTCATGGGATTTTATTTAACGATAACAGGGTATTATTACTTACTACTTGGATCGTCATCATGGATACTCTCTAGGCATCCTAGTTCCAGTTAGCACATCCCTTATTAGACTCAATTCAGCTACCACATTGCTCATGTCTTTTCGCTCCCTCGGCATCGCTACAGAACAAGCAACTCCTACTCTTGCAATGGAAGTCAAGCACTCCACAACCCTTTTTCTTCGATCATTTGGGGCATGATTCCCCCTATTACTTCTAGGATTAGTACTGCTGTTGCTTTCTTCTATTTGAACAAGTAGTGGATCACATATTTCACTCACACGTTCTGGTAGAGCCATCATAACAAAATTGTGTAGGTCCATACCACCGTTAAACATGTTATCTGTTGGCCTCTTGCCAGTTAACATCTCCAACAACAGCATTCCGTAGCTATACACGTCGCCATATGTTGACACCTCGCCTCCCATTCCATACTCTTAAGTTATATGCACAAAAACATAGCTTTGTTCTTATGTGTGACTTCAAAAAAACTCATGCTATATACAAAACCATAGTGCAAGCACAAATAAAAATATATACAAAAGAAAATTTACCTGGGGGAGTATAGCCTATGGTGCCGTTTATGACATTGGAACTGCTATCGTGCAAAGGAGATGGGCAAGAAGCATCCCGGATGTACCTTGCTAAACCGAAATCACCAACACAAGCAGTCATGTCACTGTCTAACAAAATGTTGCTGGGCTTTATATCACAATGAACTATTGGCATGTGGCAGCGGTTGTGCAAATAATCCAAAGCACATGCTACATCGATGGCAATGTTAACTCTTTGAGTGAGATTCAGATTCTTTGGCAGATTGGCTGGCCTATCTACTCCTTGAGCTGATATGTGCAGCCACTCATCTAGGCTTCCATTCACCATGAACTCATACACCAAGGCTTTGAAATCGTTTCCTTGAAAATCAATGCTTGAACAAGCAGTCAGTAGCTTGACAAGATTTCGATGCCTAATGCTTTTCAAGGCTTCACATTCAGACATGAAACTTTTAGAAGCTCTTGAAGTTTGAAGATTGAGTACTTTCACCGCAACAATTCTTTCTTCATGCTCATTGAGAACTCCCTTGTACACGGACCCGAAGCTTCCAGAACCAATCAGATGCGAAGCAGAGAACCCATCAGTTGCTTTGAGGAGATCTCCATAGGACAGTTTCAAGAGTGAAACCCCCAGTGATGATCTTGAAGTTGACTTAAGCGCTCTAGCCTTTCTTGATCGATAAAGAAATGCAAGTAACAACACCAAGACCAAGCCGACAACCCCACAGGAAACTGAGATAATTAAGTTCAGCTTAGGAGATAACCCGCGCTTGGATTGCTTGGAGATGCATTTAGGCAATCTTAAGTGAGTTATACCTCCACAAAGCCGTGTGTTTCCCACAACAGATACTGCACTTGCATTCTTAAAAACTCCTTGGATTGGTACTGCACCTTCAAAATCGTTAAATGAAAGGTTCAAATTCTGCAAGAATGGGAAACTCCCCAAGTAGTTAGGAATTATACCAGACAAGTTGTTGTGAGAAAGGTCAAAATCTTCAATTCCTCTCAAAGAGCTCAAGGATTTAGGAATTGTCCCTTGCAATAAATTTTCACTCAGAGAGAGAGTCATCAAACTTGTGCAACTCCCTAAGCCTTGTGGAATCTCACCAGATAACTTGTTTTCAGAAACATCCAAGAAAACAAGATGCTGTGAGTTGCCTACTTCCATGGGAATGGATTCAGTAAGTTGGTTTCCAGATAGATTCAAGTAAACAGGTAAATTGATGACTTGTTTTGGAATTGGACCGCTAAGATTGTTGTGGGAAAGATCCAAATCTATCATAAACCTGCAGTTTCCAAGACTTTGTGGTATGCTTCCATTTAACTTGTTTGAGTTGAGAGCCAAGCTGCTTAATGAAGTGAGATTTCCTAGAGATGATGGAACATTACCTGACAATTCATTCGAATTTAGAAATAGGGCATAAAGCTTATTCAGTTTACATATTGAACTGGGTATGGTGCCTGCCAATAAATTTGTAGAAAAGGCTAGTCTCCCCAAGTTGATAAGATTTCCAACCCCGGCGGGAATGTTTCCGCGTATCTGATTGTCATGAAAATTTATTTGCCTGAGATTTGTTGAGAGATTGCTGATAGATTCAGGCAGCAGTCCCCCAAAATTATTGAAGCTAAAAGATAAAGCTTCTAAATTGGTGCAATTAACTAGAGAAGGGATGAAATCCAAGTCACCTTCCTCATTATTTCCAAGATTGTTCTCCTGAAGTGTTAACCTATACAAATTTGACAGGCGTGCCAGACTAGGCACTTTCCCAATAAACTTATTGGATGAGATAGAAAATACTGAAAGGTTTGAGGCATTGGAGATTGAAGCTGGTATTGGTCCAGTGAATCGGTTGATATGAAAAATAAGGGATTCGAGGTTTGGAAATATAGTGTGGCCCAAGCCAGGAGGAAGAGTTCCACGAAGGTTGTTTTTAAACATATAAATGACTTCAATTGACGAGAGGTTGTATATGGAGGGAGGGATGGTACCATTCAAATAATTTGCAGCCAGTGAAAAATGCGTTAAGCTTTTCAACCGGCCAAGGCTATTTGGAATACCTCCATGCAGATTATTTTTTTCCACAGATAGCAACGAAAGAGAAGAAAGATTCCCAAAAGAAGGTGGGATTTTCCCATGAAAATTGTTTTTGCCTAAAATAAGTACCTGAAGCGTGGACAATGAGGCAATTTCAGTTGGAAGTTCGCCACTAAGAGTGTTGCCATATAAGCCAAGGTATTGGAGGTTAGAGCAACGTGATATGTTGAATGGAATATGACCGTCGAAGGAGTTGTTATGAAGGACTAGTGTTTCCAAGCGGAACAAACGACCAATTTCTGGAGGGATGGTGTGGCTGAAGCTATTGTTCGGGAGGTATAAAACCCTCAGAAAGCTCAAGTTTCCAATGTGGGGAGATAGGTGGCCTGCCAGCCCGCTTGATTGGAGGTCGAGCACTGTAACCCTTTGGTGTCTGCGGCCACAAGTAATGCCTGGCCAATGACAGATGTGGAGGGATTCATTCCAAGAGCTAAGGATGCCGAGGCTATCGGTCACGACTTCAGCTTTGAAGGCAAGCAAGGAAAGCCTATCCACCTCATTCCCTGCTAATCGCGAGGAGGAGGTAGAGCCAAAAAGAAAGAGAAGAAAGAGTGGTTGGATGAAAATAAACCAAATGCTAATATGAATACTTGAGAACTCCATTGTAGCGAGGCTGCAAAAGGAAACTTTGGATATTTAACCTTAGGTAATAGTACCCACTGCAAAAGTTCAATTAAGTAATGATTACCCACTGCAAAAGAAAGGAGTCAATTTTAGCGTCCAAATTGGGTTGCACGGCTGGTTTCTGCGTGCATGCCGTGGTTGACGCGTTGGTGAACACAACACATAGCTTTTGTACTCGCAATAATTCTTAATTCAAAAATGCTACTCTTATCAAATTTTTCATACAATATTGTTTCAATAAACTCTGTCAAAAATGCTTATCTTACCACATTTGTATTATCTCTTTAATAGAGATGAGACCTACATGTGTTGATGGACCAACTTCTATTAAAAAAGTGGTAAAAATAATAATACAAATATGTGATAAGTGTTGTACTACTCGAGTAACTTACACGTTGGTTCTTGACGGAAAAAAAAAAAGATTGACGTTTTACATTAGAATTATCATAAAAAGCAGAAAGTAAAACGTAGAGACCCACTAGCTAGTTTTCTACCGTATTGGAAGGTTCACGCAAAGTAGGTAAGACTAGAAAAAGTGACCAGGCATTGCCGCGGGTCTTTAAAATATTTAGGAAATATATATAAAGAAAACAGAGGTATCTTATGCTGTGAGTTTCAAAGTTGTATAGAACATGTAAGATTTGTAAATACATACATATATATATATATATAGCGATACTATTTACATGCATGTGAAATGTAAGAAGGAAATTAGTCCTTTTGTTTTGAATCAAGATCACCAATTCCAAAATACAATTTCAAGAATCATTTCCCTACAGTTGAACATCAAGAAGACCATTAATTCTGAAACACAGATTAAATTTCTCTCCGTGTTAAAAAGCATGTAAGCAGAGAGACAAAGGAGGTGGTTTCTATTACCGGTACGATTAGCTTGTAAAGACTTGTCCACTATGTTCTAAATATTGGTCTCCACTTTAACCACCTTTGAGAACTTTTCTATAGATAATTCCACTATAAAAATAAATCCATGTTAGAATGCGTTTCTATTCATAACACGTTTAATACATTTTAGTGGACCATATAATATCATATAATTGATAGCGGTATGTACTTTTGGTAGATAATTTGTAATCAAATTGCAAAATATTGGGATGTCTAGTTCCCGCAGGAGTGTGTTATCCATATCATAGTAGAGAGGGTACTTCTTGATATTTCGTAATTGCCTCACACATCTGTCATAAAAAAAATCTTAAACGCATAGATTCATCATTATAGCCTAAATTACCATCGCATTATCATATCGGAAAAGACAAAGGTAATCAAACTCAAGTGTCCCACATGCTGACATCCAACAAACCAATCGAAACAAAAGATGCATAAAAGGGTCTCGAGTTTTGCCAAATACACCACAATGAATATGCTTTAACCAAATGAAGGAATAGACTTACCATCATAAGAAACTCATGCCTCCTCTCTATGAAGCTTTGCTGGCTTTCTTTTCTCACCTGCAATTTAGACCAAATGCGCAGAGCCATTTCACCCATGAAATTCTAAATCCAGAAACATCTAAAAACAGATAACAAAGAACCGAGAAAACCGTGCGTGCTGGCATGCGTGTTTCTGTGGTATATTTTATCAAACAGGTGATAGGCACTGAACAAAAGATACATATGACTGTAAATGTTGTTTGTAAACTCAAATGGAAAGCGTAAAATTACACTCTAACATGGTTTGGCAATTTCATTTCATTAAATGATTTCAAATTCAATAATCAGAACATAAAAGAAGAAATATGAAAAATTACAGTTAGAAGCCACACATCAGTTAAAGCGTTGAAAAATAAGCAAGCTTGCTTAGGGAACTATATTTACACCTACAGAATAATAAATACAGCAAGCTAGTACTGATGAAATACTCAAAAAAGGCAAAATTCGTTTTCATTTCTTCCCGTTATTAAAAAACTAAATATAAAAATCAATCCGCTTTGAACCCAGAAATTCGAAACCAAACTCTCACCAAGGGAAGTACCAAAACTCTGAATATTTTAACCCTTAGAGTTCACTTTTGTTATAGAAACTAAAAAAATAAAAATAAAAACCATAAGTTCTATAAAAAAAATGTAATACTAAATCCCAAAAGTGAAGAACTGATTGATTCCCACATATTCAACTTTAATAATATACAAAAATTACAAATTTGGTTCCCCTAAATCCCAAAAGGGAGAAGCAAAAAGAGAAACTAAAATGCGAAGGATGAGGGTCTGCAGTTTTCACATCCACAAACAAACGCACAAATTCTTATATTTTCGAAAGCCAAGATCGACAAGAACACACAATTCAGATTGGATCTCCACAACAGACAAAAACAAACAGAGAAAATTTAAGATTTTTGGACAAAAATTGGGATGAAAATTATGACTTCCACCAGAAAACCAGATCGATGGTTCAATCCAATCAAAAGAGAGAAGCTTACCCCCGGACTGAAGCTCGAAGAGCCTGCTTGATGGCAGATGTAGTTCTACTGCAAGAGAGAGTTGGAGAAACAAGGTTCTAGTTTTTGGTTGAGAGAAACAAACATGAATCAACAAAGAAGCAGTGGATGAATAACTTTAAGAACAACTAATTGCTACTTCAAGCTCCCTAGCTTTTGACGGATCATGATCATACTCATAATGAGCTGACCATGAAACCAAAATCATTACTTTGACAACAAAAACAACTAAATTTTTCAAATAGATTATGCCAAAAATTACCAGCCGAATTACCGAACACCATGATATCGAGTCGGAAAACTGATTTGCAATGCTCCGACGAAGACTCAAGAAGGCCAAGGTTTCAAGGAATAAGGTGCAGTGATAGTATTATCCTTATCAAATACAATTATACAACACAAATGTATGTGCTGCACTTGACAGGCATTGTAAACTTGTGAAGCACAGCTTTGCACGTTTTTAGAAGTCGAGCCTATGCATATGAACGTAAAATGTTAAATACATTTTTCCACCGGTGTCTGAAGCAAATTTTAGATGCATATTGAGATCTCTATGGTTGACACAGGTTTGGAGCTTGTGAAAGTCACATTTTCCATTGATTGAATATCATAAACCACAATTTTATTCAATTAACCAAACCCAAATCAAAAGAACCAAATTTTAGTCAACAACTAATCAAAATAACATCACACAAACCCCAAAAGTTGCACCAATTCCACACAAAAGTTTAAACTTGTACGGCAATTACTACAATCCGAATCAAAATTCCAGTGTTTAACACACAGTGCTTTGGAACTGTGTAAATAATTTAAAATCAGAAAATGTCCCAATCTTTTTTTAATCTCACAAAATTTAAGCAAAATGTAATCCCTAACAAAAATTTTGGAGAATGGAAAGGCCCAATTCCACCCAATATAGATAAGATAATTACAAAATAATTCAAATGGAGGCAATTTGATCGAAATTTGCAGAGCAAAAACCCTAAAAACAACAGAAAGGAAAACCCAAAATAAAATGAAGAACAAAAATCACTAATCACATAACCAAGATTAATAAAAATGAAAAAAATCAATATGCATGAAATACCGAAATAAATAATCAGTGAGGGGGAAGAAATTGATCCCATGTTGGAGCTTTTTCGTTCCAATTCAAATCGAGCAGGAAGGAAGAAGTTGAGGAGCAGAAACGGGCTTGACGGAAGTGAATTAAACTTACGAACCCAATGAAGGCCCACTGAGTCGGGCTAGCCCAACATAAAGCGTGCTGATATTTTTTCTGCGTGAGTTTTGCCTTTGGGAGCATTTCGCTCGGCATTTCGCTCATTGGTGCACTTGACTTGAGCATGGCCTCGTTCACTCAGCCCGAAGACGACTCAGTCCCGACCACCGGCTCAACTCGCCCGTTCGACGACGACGGTTACCTGGGCTACGACCCCCGACTCTCCTCCCAGCGATTCGACTCCTTCGTCGACTCCGAGTCGCTCAAGGACTCTGCCACCGATTCCCCAATCTTCCAGGGCTCCACCGTAGACGACGCTTTCGCCACTCAGCCGGCGTCGGAGGCCTTCTCTCCTCCGTCGATCTACGCCGAATCGAACGGCCAGGGCTTTGATGGAGGGTTTGGCGGGTCCGATGATCCGATTTTGCCGCCTCCGTCGGAGATGCTGCCTGAGGAGGGCTTTGCTCTCAGAGAATGGAGGAGGTAGGGATTTGAATTCTGATTGTTTGCGATTGAACCTATAGTTCTGTATAGCAATTAAATTTTGATTCTTTTGTGCAATTTAGTTGAAAGTTGTTGGTTTTGATTTGGCTTGATCTTTCTGTTGCTGAGAAACTGAGTGGAAGTTGTTGTTTTGATTTCGGTAGTTTTCAAGAGTTGCATGCTTAGTGATCAGTAATCGTCTTTCTGATAACAAATTGTTAAATTGATTGTTTATCTAAAAAACTAAAACTTGTTAAAATCTTTATGAATTTCATGATTGTTGTAAAAAAAAAAAAGATTGATGATTGTTGTCAAATTGTGGTTATTGATTATCAGAAAGTGATTTTATGTTTGCATTGAAGGTGGTGTTAGAAATAAATGGTTGAATTCTGTGAGGTTGTAAGGGAGTTATAATAATCCGAGCTTTTGTGACATCCAGGCAGAATGCGATTCATCTCGAGGAGAAGGAGAAGAGAGAAAAGGAGTTGTTGGTTCAAATAATTGAGGAAGCAGATGAATTCAAGGTGGGATTCTACCAGAAGAGGAAGATCACTACTGAAAATAACAAGGCTGCTAACAGGGAAAGGGAGAAGGTTTGATCAATTTAGCTTTCCAATAAATATTATCGGCACAATATTTTGTTTCATTGAGCTCTTCTAGTAATAATGGCGATTTCAGACTTTACTGCCTCAATTTTAAGTTTTTGGTTGGAATGCATATGATGATTCTTTGGGCTGATGCTTATAGTTTCGTTCTTGGATTGCTGATTCATTCAATAATTGAATGGTTGATCGAAAAAAGTTTTGAAGAAGAGCCACAAATTGTTGTCGCGTATCTCCTCCACATACACTCAGCTTGGTTATTCATAAATATTTACAAGCTCGTAACTTTTATTCTCTTTGCTGGGATTTAACTTTTGTGAATTCAACTAAGTGATGGTCACAACTGTTTAGGATTCTCTGCGTAAATCTTAGCTACAATGTGTCCCTATTAGGCTTCTTCGTAAAACAAATTCTACTAATATTGGTCGTGTTAATGGTTTTCTGAATGTCTTTTTAGCTAACGATTTTGGAATTGAACTTTGTCACAACTTTACAGTTTCTTCGCCTTTAATATCCATATCAATCTCTCTGGTATATTGTTTTGAATTTGTATTTTGGCTTTTCTCAGCTGTTCCTGGCTAATCAAGAGAAGTTTCATGCTGAGGTAGACAAGAACTACTGGAAGGCAATTGCGGACCTCATTCCCAATGAGGTGCCAGCTATAGAAAAGAAGAGAGGGAAGAAGGATACGGAAAAGAAGCCATCCATTCTCGTTGTCCAAGGTCCAAAGCCTGGAAAGCCAACCGAGCTTTCAAGGATGAGGCAGATACTTTTAAAATTGAAGCATAATACACCACCCCACCTGAAGCCTTCACCTCCTGCCCCAGCTCCCAGCAAGGATGCAAAACCGAGTACTTCTGCTCCCCCGAAGGCTGCAGTTGTGGCGGCTACCCCCGAGGCTGTACTAGCTGCTTCGTAATTTGCCTGGCGTGCTTTGTTAGGTTTATTTTGTAGAAACCATGCATTTCCATTACAACATTGTGGAGTTTTTCTTGTTTAGTTGAACGTTTCGTGATGGGTATATTTGGTTCTTAGATTTTGTGTTTCATATGTACAAATGTGAGACGGAAGGGAACTAGGACCTCTGCAAATTTTATTATAAATATTTTTTTTTTCTGTGTTTCAGAAAATACATAGTAAACTTTATATTTTAGGTTAAATTTTCATCTAATGGTTGAAGTAATCATTTAAATTAGTTTAAATTTTCATCTAATGGTTGAAATAATCATTTTAAGTCGTATATTTTATCCACCTACCTCAAACATGATACTATGAAATGGCTTTGACTTTTGGAACGACGAACCTTCAGGACCTTTAGGTACCGTTTGGTACGTGGGACGGGACGGAACAGAGTGGGACAAGGCGTTCCGTCCCACGTTTGGTGCGCCTAAAACGGGTGGAACGAGCTGTTCCACGGGACGAGTTTTGGGTGAATTTTCGTTCCACCTCACCCCCTGGAACGACTCGTTCCACATTTGTGGAACACAAAACTATAACCTCTCCGTCTCCTTCTTCTTCCTCCTTGTTTCCATCCGAGGGTATCTTTGCTCCCGCTCCGTTCCGTTCCATCCTGTCTCGTCCCGTCCCATCCCGTTCCGTCCCGTCCCGTCTGCATACCAAACGATACCTTAGGTGTCAACAGCTTTAAAGGATAATACTTACTGGGGGATCAAACGACATTGCGCGTTCAAAACTTGAAAGTCGTGTTTTTCCAAATGATGCAGAAACTCCAATCGTCCCTCTCCCACTAGCCAGACAACAATCCACCAAGATTAGCGACGGCGAACTCCAATTGTCACTGATAGAGTTTGCCACCGGTCATCATATAGCCTCGGAATCCTATTGTTGGAGATGTTAACATGCAAGAGACAGACGGATGACATGTTATAAAGATGGTATGAATGTCTTGATGGCTACATGAGAAACCCAACTAAAAGGTACAAAAACATATTAATTTGTGATACATGATGATTATAAAAACCGAATCTTATCATATAGATAAATAAATAAATTAACCTGTGATATAGGTTGATTATAAAAATAAAAATAAAATATATGAATAAGGTTTAGTGGAGGATGAAGAAAACTCTCTTTCTAAAACAGTCTTATAATTTGGTTCTAAATGCAATCTCCTTTTTCATTAGTGAACGGAGAAGATTTAACTAATCAAAATCTCAACCGTTGACTCATTAAAAAAAAAAAAAAAAAAAGCATGTGCAGGTGAGCAAAGCTCTTGAAAACACCTGCAACACAGCCCATGGTATGAGTCAGCAGCTTTCACTGCGCTCCCAGAAGTACACATTCAACTTACCAAAGATGTGAGGCTAATATGATCTCTGGTTTTTCAACAAAGTATCCGTCGAAAGCGAGCCACGAAAGGCTGTTCGGTACATAACCAGATTTCTTAACGTTACAAATATCATGACTTACAACACCACCAGCATATCGGTGCACTTTACGTGAAGCACAGAAGCACAATTCCTGTCAGGTCTATCAGAAAATTGGTTTTCTTTTGACTGTCAAGATGGTTGAAACCGAAGATGAAAAAATCATGTGGTAGATTAGAGATGCAGTTTATGTGGAATGATGGCAGCTCCCCCAAAACATTACCTACCGCGCACACTGGCAGGAGATCGACCACCTCTCTCACTGCCATTATCTTCTACTTCACTCCCGTCTAAACAAAGGCCATTGTTGTTTACACTAACTTCGGAGCTAGCATTACTGCTAGTGGCAAGAGGAGAATCTGAAACACTAATTGTTCTGCTTCGTGCAGGCCCCGATCTCACACTGTACATGGAGGATGCAGGAATATTTGTCATCAACGGTCTTAAATTACCTGGAATGGATCGCCTTATATCCTGCAACCAACACCAAATCAAGAAAAAATTATGTACAACAAACTTGTATCAAATACTTTCTCTAGATTAAAAGTAAATTTTGACTGCTTATAAAGAACACTGGGAGGGAATGAGGGAAAGCTATCTTCTACAACAGAGAATATGAGATACTTCCACAGAAATAGCATGCACAACTTTGCAACGAACAGGCATTCTAGTCTCAATTCGCATGGGAATATACACCGACTCGTAAAATGGAAAGATATGCTTACCATGTGGCGTATAGCCATATCAAGGGATTTCTTTGAGAGTGATCTACCAAAGCCTGAGCTGTCTGGGGATGAAGCTGACTTCCCGGAGTGGTTACCATGAGGAGAATGTTTGTCCTCTTGCTTCGGTGGTGCCAGTTTCCGCATATTTATTACCCTCTCGACCATTTTTGTTCCCATTAAAACAGGGCTCACATTGTCATTAACTTTAGAATGTCCACGACTGAATGCAGGAACAGAGCTCCCACTTGTATGACTAATGCCATTGGGAGCCCGTCCTCTTGAAGGAGAGCATGATTGCCGTCTTGGTCTTACATTGGGACCAGGCTCAACGGAAGATGATCGAGAACTGGGTGCTCCAGGCCTACCTCTAGTGGCTGAAAGTGGTCTGTCAGGAAGTGTTGTCCTTAAATTTGGTGGGGCCTCGAGTGAGAAACCAGGCATTTCTGAGGGCTTCCATGGTCTAGATTTTACTGTTGGGGACGCACCACGTGATGGCACTGGATTTCTTGCTGTTGTAGGAGCTGGCTTGGACATTGAAGGTGAGGACTTTGATGGAGGAGCTGATATACTAGGTGTAGGGGATGGCACGGACGGTCGACGAGTTGGTGTTGATGCTCTTGATATAGGCTTGGGTGGGGGTACAGTGGGTCTGGAAGTTGGTGTTGAAGATCTTGCCGTAGACCTTGATGGTGTAGAGGATCTTGAGGGAACTGTAGATTTCTTTGCAGGAGTTGTCGATCTATTTGCAGGAAGTGTGGATCGAGTTGTGGGAACCGTAGACTTAGGGGCAGAATTTATGGACTTGTTTAACGGCAAGGTTGATCGAGAAGTAGGGGTTGACGATCTTGAAGGTCTAGGTGCTGAAGGCAACGTGGGGCGTCCAGTTGGTGTTGCAGGTCTTGATCCTGGACCCCCAGACGATGAAGGCCTCCGGGTCCCAGAATTTGAAGAACTCAGCCCAGGGGAAGAAGTTGATTGTCTAGACACTAAGCTGGTCCTAGCAGCAGGCTCCGGCTGGGAGTTAGCTAACTATGATCACAATAAAGAAATGGCTAAGTAATACTACATGAAACTCAAGCACAATTAGAATTTAGAACTCAAAAGTGAGAAACTGAAAACCATCACGAAATTTACCCTTTTATAAAGACTGATAAACGAGAGAAGCAGCATCTTCTATGAATTACAACATTCTAAACTCAATGGTTGTTGAATCTAGTAGTTAGATGCTAGATATGTAATTTTCTCTTAAATGCACATTCTAAGTTAAGCAACGTAAAGTTTGAGAGATGAGAATGAATGTCAATAGTTCAGATGTTCATATAACTACCAATTAAGCGCCATATACCAAGGATATCTTTTGCAACTTTTCTGCTTTAAAAAGGACTAAAGATGGATGCTAACTTCCAAAGTCTTAAACTCCCTTTCACACACTATAAATAAATTACAACCACTTCAGATGTAGAACTGCAGCCCAGTTGATAAGGAAATTCTTACTCTAGATTTGAGTGCAGTGGGACGAGCCTTTGGGGTTCCAAGTTGACTCATTATGGTTTTATGCGATTCCATCTCCAACGAAGGAAAAAGAGGAGTCCCGGGTGGAGTTAAAAGCCTGAAAGAAGAATAAAATAATAATACCAACTTAGATAACATTTATCTGTACCTAATAGTAAAACTGCTAAACTGAAATTTAATATGCATTTGAAGAACGGAAGTTGTACAGACTTATTATTCTAGTTAAGCACTTCAATGGCCATGCTTTCCTTTGTCAAAAATTTATTCCCCCTACAGGAATGCAGCACGTTTAGGCCATCCCAACGGACCTCACATTAGGCATGTAATCGGCAGAAATGCATCACCGAACTATATCACTAGTGTATTATTATACTGCTGGACTCTATCCAGAAACTTTGCAATCCAAAAAATTTCATATGATACGCGTAATTGAAACAGAATCTTCAAACATCCTATAAAGGATATGGTGAACCTGATATAAAAGTTCCATAACAGTGGGAAAAGTTTCAGAATCAAAAGCATACAAACCCTAGAAGTTAAAAAAAGGTACGCCCTATTCTGCTTCTTTATTATCCCATCAGAACTCAGCTAACAAATAACTTCTATGTTCTAGAAAAGGAAAACAGATTATGGCATTACCAATCATAATCATTCTTGTCATTCTCAGAATTGAGAAAATCATCAGCACCGGTCTTGCGTGGAGGTGCCGGCGTTGATGAGGAAATATTGAAAATGGGAGAAGTTCCGGGTTTCGTCCCTGCAATGTCGAGGTTACCATATCAGAAGCAACCTTAGTAACAAATATCAAAGCCGAAAATGCGAAACATTTCCACACAAATTTAACCTACAATCAGTACAGACTATTTTAGCAGCAATGCAAGCAAAAAAGCACATTACTGATTTACAAAATCGAAATGTGAAAGCCTCTACATTGCACTCGAAAACCTAATAAATTTAGGCACAAAAAGTATACCTAATGGTGCATCGAACTCTTCAGAGCTGTTAAGAAGAAGATCGTTCCGTTCCTTCTCGCGCTTCTTCATCTCTAGGAACAAAGCGAGCTCTTCTTCCTTCTCCTTCCTCACCGAGGCTCTGAGCTGCTGCCTCTGCTTAATCATCGCTTGCATTTGCGAGTCCTGAGCCCTAAAACTCCGATTCATCGCCATAAACGCTAAGTCCACCGATGGTAAATGAAATAAAATATCTAAAACCTAATTTCCAACCACCGCTTGCGTCGCAGTCGTCGCCCAAACGAAGCTCAGCTACCGTTAGATCTGAAACCGACGGCCAATCGGTGCACAAATTCGACGGCTACGAGTCGGCATTTCGGCTCCGTTTTCTTCCAATCGTAAGAAGTGCTGCGTAGGAGTGTGAGAGCACTGAGAAAGATGAAAGCTTGGAGAGTCCTCGGAGGTATGGAACCGCCATTGTGAAGGAACTGAGCTCCCAAGTGCGTTGAAAACTAGACGAGAAGAGAGATTGAGCTCGGAGGAACCGCCATTGTTGCGGAGCTGAGCTCGAAAGGCGGAGGATGCGAGCGGGAGTTGCAGTGAGAAAGCTCGGAAGATCAGAGATTTCACAGTGGAGATGGAGAGAGAGTGAGGGGGAAGAGGAGCAGTGGCATTGAATGGTAATTTAGGAGAAATTTGGAGTCCGAAATTGGGAAAATGAACGGAGGTGCGTACTGTGCAGGTTTTGTTGTTTCTCTCAGTTAAAGCCTACGTTTTCAGGTCGTGGGTTTTGGTGGGGACATAATCACGATAATGCCCTTCTTTTTAATTTATTTATTTTTTTGGTTTTTGAATTTTGAAGTATTGTATTTGCAGTTTAAGCCCATGTATTTTTGTGTAATTCTGATGCATGGTTTCGAAGATTTTCTTGGTTTTGTGAAGATGTATATTGTTTTGTCTTCCTCTCCTGTGAATCGTACAAGAGTAACTTCAACTTAATAATACAATGTCACATGTTAGTTTTCATTCACATATATTATGATATTGAATTGAGATGTCACCATATCGATCTACCAAATCAATTTAAGTTTTCGCCCAACACCACTATATTGTAGCTTTGAGTATGTGGTTGTATCTGTGACCTAATTGTTTTGAATGTAAGAATTCCTCCTTGATTAGGGTTAATGCCCTATTGTAATTATAGAAATCTCAATACTCACTTTAATTAAATTAAAACTAATGAAAAGAATTTGAAAACTTTGAGTTTTAATAATAAGAACAAAATAAAAAGTAAAGTGAATAGTACTAGAATTGACTTTTTAGTGTAAAATGTGGTTTTTCGTTAAAGTGAACAGTACCGTAGACTTTTCTTTAAAACTCCCATAATTAAATTGAGAGGTTTTCTTTCTTCACTAATGTGCAATAGGAGTGTTTTTTTTCCTTTATAAAATGTGCTATACATTATATTAGGTTCTCGTTAGATAACATGTGACGTATTTGAATTTCCAATCTTTAAATTAAATTACATATAGATATGAGTTTTAATTATGTTATTTCTCAATTAGAGTTTTAGAAATAATGTCTTTCTTTTTAAGTTATTTTTCTCAAAACAGAGATTGTATAAGAGGTTAGGGTTGACCAATGACTAATTAATTAGTAAAGTCTTCAAATTCAAATTGAGATTATATAAGAGGTGTAATTAGCTGTCTTAATTTTGCATAGTTTCTCTCATATAAAATGTTCAGTGAAGGTAAGTTGAATAAAAAAAAATCGATTATATTTCAGATCATTTACTAAAAATATGACAAATAAGACGACGAAGTTTGAAATCTTAAAATTTTATTTTTGAACAAACGATATTATATACAGAGGGAGGGGTATCAATAATATAATTCAAATTCACATTTGACAAGAATCGGACCAAAAACCTCTCGTGCGAAAATAAATACCACTAAATTATAGTATAAATAGCGAAATCTCAAAATTTTGTATTGACAATTATCACGTTTGACCGTGCATCAAGAAGCTAATAACGTACATTTTAAACTTCAAATTTGTATGTATAACCATATAATACTCCATTTATTTATTTTTTGCTGGTTATTCATTTTTCTCAACCATATATGAATAAAAAAAAGAGTCAGATACACAAATGAATTAAGCAATTAAGTCGAACTGAAAATCGGCCGAGGAGATCAATAGAGAACGAGGGAGGGTCGTCGTGCGGCTGATTATTGCGCGCCACGACGTCGTTTGGAAGCTAAAACGCGGTCCAGAACGTCCGATGCAGAGGCGGAGCTGAGCGGCGAGAGAGGATCGAATCGGAAAATGTCGGTGAAGACGAAGAAGGGCGAGGCGGGCAGTAGCAGCGGCGGCGGCAGTAGTAACCACAGAGGAGAAAGCGTGGTGGTGGATTACGGCAAAAACAAAAGCTCCTGCGGCTATTGCAAATCCGGTGCTCGCACCAGTATCTCTCACGGTCCGTTTCTCTCATCAATTCCCTCTCTCTCTATAATTTGTTTGGTTTTAAGCTCGTAATTTGGTTGATTTGTCTTGCTAATTAGATTTAGAACAAGTTTAGTAATTTGATTGTGTGATTTATGCAGCCTTTGGAAAACTTGAGCCTTTGAAATATAGTTGTTTGTTTGTTCCCAAATCGTTGCTGTTTATCGAAAAATTTGTAGACTGGAATCATTGTGTTTAATTCCATGAATAAAAGTTACTGTGATCAATTTGCAAGTTAGTTATGAGGTTTCTAAGCAATTCGAATTTGGACAGAATTTTTATCACAAGCATTTGTTCTATGCAAATTTTTGGGTTTGAGAGTTGGGATGTTAGGCCAATTCTAAGTTGCTAACTATAGCTCGGTTTGCCGTCACCTGTGTTAAAAGTTCTTTTGCCCTTTTGGGGATGAATTTAATGTCTGATTACATTCTTAACTTGTCTTCGATTTTTTCAGGTTTGTGGGCACATAGCATTACGATCAATGACTACCAAGGTTTGCTTTTTATTGGCTTCCCTTTATATCTTGTGAACAATACTACTGTTATTGTAGCGGTAACCACGATAAGAAAACAGTTCTCGTTTGACCCAGAAAAAAAATTGATAAAGAACTCTCTTGACAAATTTGTTATACCATTTTACTGCTTACAATGTTGTCTTGATTTCTTTTTTCTGTATGTATTTAAATGAGTTTTTTTCAGATCTTCTTGACCGTGGTTGGAGACGATCTGGTTGTTTTCTTTACAAACCTGAGATGGAAAGAACATGCTGCCCTGCTTATACTATTCGTCTGAGAGTAGGTGATTTTGTTCCTTCTAAGGAGCAAATACGGGTGTCTAGACGAATGCAAAGGTATGGTTATGTTGCCTTTTATTCCTCCACCTCTCCCTAAAAAACAAAGTTTACAGTATTGTTGTCTGTAGATTGAGAATTACATTTCTTTTGGTACATTTAGTATAGTTCATCAGTTCATTTACAATATAGAGCCCCACCAAAGATGATGTATCATGACACTTTCAAGGTTGGAAATTTATTACGGCACAAAATCTGCTCTAAAGAAAATTCTAATGTCGGACAACTGTTATGCAATTTTCCAGGTTTTTGAGTGGGTCATGGGCTAATTGATGTCGATTACTTTCAGTTATCAGTTGTGTAGTTTTACTATGATTTCTTCTGTATCACTACTAAGTTCTAGCAAAACATACATTTAATTCAATTTATACTTTATCCTGATCAATGAAATAATCTATGCCTAGGTTCTTAGAAGGTACCTTGGACTGTAAGAAACCAGGGGAGTCTATAGAGAATCCAAATGCTTCTAAGGACACATGCAGCCATACGCATCTTGGAGTTTCAAGCTCAGCCGCGAAAGAATCCTGTTCCAATAACAATGAAGAGAAGGGTGGGGAAGAAGAGATTTTGCATTTCTTATCAGATCAAGTTGATAATTCTGTTCGTGGTTGCTCTGAAAGTGGGGAATTTCCTGACATTCAATTTCCCAAAGCTTCTGTTAAAAAGGTTTTACAAGCCAAAAGAAAGCTATTGGTTGAAGGATCAGAAGATCTCTTATACTCGAGCAATATTGCATTCCAAATAGCGGCTACTATAAGGAAGTCATTACCAGGTGAGAAGGATGCCCACCAGGGAAGATTGTTGACAAATATTACAGATGAAAAGGGGCCATCTCCAAAACTTATTGCTCAAAAGCTAGAGAGTTCCTTGAATCAGTTGGCAAAAACATCTGGTCTGTTAGTCAGGGCTTGCAATGGACATTTAAATTTTTATTCTGCCACAAAACAAGCTTCCTCATATCAAAGTGCTCAAACTGTTAGCGTTGCTAAAGGATCTGCTACCAGGTCTGAAAGTAAAGGGTGCGGTGTGAAAAATATCTCTCAATATAATCCAGGAAAGAGGCCGAGGCTTGAGATTCATCTGAAAAGGTCCAGTTTTGATTCAGAAGAGTACGCTTTGTATAGACGGTATCAAATAGCGGTGCATAATGATACCCCTGAACATGTTACAGAAAGCTCATACAGGAGGTTCCTGGTTGATACTCCCTTAAATTATGTTCCTCCAAAAGGTGATGGTACCGTTCCACCTTGTGGCTTTGGTTCTTTCCATCAGCAATATGTGATTGATGGCAAGCTTGTTGCAGTCGGTGTTATAGATATCCTCCCTAGATGTTTGTCAAGTAAATACTTATTTTGGGACCCAGATTTTGCCTTCCTATCACCTGGAAAGTATTCAGCACTACAAGAAATAAATTGGGTGAAAGAAAATCAAGCCCATTGCTCCACGCTTCAGTATTATTATCTCGGTTATTACATTCACTCTTGCAGTAAGATGAGATACAAAGCAGCATATTGCCCGTCTGAGCTACTCTGTCCTTTACGTTACCAGTAAGTTCCCCTTTGCTTGCACCAGCTGACCATGGAAAGCTGTTAACAGTTTCAGTTTACTAATTAGGTTGAAAATTGTTACATCTATCCTTTAGGTTTCCAGTAAGTTTCCCTTCTCTTGATAATTATATCATAGGCAAACTGAAGTTTTCATATGAGACCAATTTGTCTACTTTTTCTACATAATGAATGGAAATCATTACTTTTCATATTAATCAAGAAATTTTTTTAGTGCCCTAATATTCAAGTTTCGGTGGCTGACAAACTGAAATTTCACCACCAGGTGGGTTCCTTTTGATATCGCCAAACCTTTGCTTGATAAAAAGCAGTATGCTGTTCTATCTGATGTTTCCATCCGACAAGATAGCTTGCAGCCTCATGTTTCTGAAGAAGTCATGAAAGTGCAACATGATGACAGTGGGAAAGAAGACACTAATGATTTTCCTATGTACGACAATGAAGGAGCGTTTGACTCTGAATATGAAAGCTCAGACAACGAACAAAATCTGTTATCTGCTGATGTAGAAGATGGAGATGTTGGTAACATTTTAATCGGGTTGAAGGGATCTCGTGTGAGATTCAAGGTATGTATACTCAAGCTTCATAGAATTTTCAGATACCTAATTTAAAACTACTGAAACCTCCCCACCCAAAATCCAACCCCTTATTGTGCATTCATTTACTTACTACACTAGTTTCTCTTGAAGGATATAATGTTCGCTTTTGGCGCCTCAGAACGGAGTTACTTGGAGCTACAGCTGCATAGATATATGAGAGTTGTAGGCAAAGAGCTGGCTGAGCGAATGGTTTATTCACTCGAGTAATTTGGCCGTTCTCACGACTCATATGGATTTCATCACAATGGAAAGATTTATACATTGCAGTTGGAGCCGACTTTTCTGCCTGAATCAACGACGCCTGGTCATTTTAGCCGGGGCTAAACCCGAGAGCCAATGTCGAATAATTTGGTTCGGACGTTTGTTTGCTGTTCGAATCGCCTGTGTTCAATATCCGACAGACTCCTTCCCCGGATTCATCTTGCAGTTTGCATGTTTTTTCTTGATGTCAAGTCATATCTATATGAAGTAAATTTATCAGAGTTGCCCAAATGCACAATTAAGCTTGGATTTACCCATTTTATATTTTATGTAATATCAGACTAATTTTATCGCCACCATTACCTTGGCTGTTAAATTAGTACAGTTGCTACTCAAGGATGTTTATGAACTCTTACTCAAATCTCTTCGTGTTCAAATCACTGAGTTTTGTGCTTATGATTAGAATTGTTCATATTATAATTTTCTCTATAAAGTTATTTTTGTAAAAAACAAATTAAAACTAAGGTTGTACAGTCGATCTATTATACCAATTACATAGGCGGTAAGTACTATTTTTATCAAATTTGTTCTTCTGTTTTTATACAATTGGATGATTAAACAATTTTTGTTTTAATTTATTTTTTACAGAGACGATCTTTGCAGAAAAATTTATAATATGAATCGTTCTAATTATAAATACAAAATTCTATGAAACAACAATGAATAATTTAGTGAGAATTCTTCCTTATTCTTTAAGGAGGCAAGTACTCACCGAATCATTGGTAGCTATTTTTTTGGAATTATTGGTAGCTGTTTCCCAGAAATTTCCATTTTCCTACCATAAAAAAACTTAAATAAATAAAAGAAAAAGAAAAAGGTATTTGCTTAATTACTTGCGGGCCCCTTTGAAAGGATATTTCAACGTCAGCAAAACTGTTTTTTTCCCGCCAGATTGAACGGATTAATTTCGGCGCATGAAGATGTTCGAGTCAGTTTAATTTTGCTACTGTTTCTTGACGTGCACGGTATTGGTACAATTAACTAAAAAATATCTGAGAAAATAAGATGAGAAAATTCCCAAATTAGGAAATCAAACAGAATCAACCATAATCGTGATTCATACAGCCTGTACTCATCACATGAGAAAAACTGTCTCTTAACTTGATGAGAGAAATCGATCAAATGAGAATACCCCGATGTTAGCGAAGAAAGCCCCTGTCACAAGCTTTATGAGCGAATCTATTTTTGAAAAATTACGACGGTGAGGCAAGTGGGAATTTAATTGAACTAGAGATTGCATTTGAAGAGAGGTTACATACAACATGATCAAATTTGAACACAATCAAATGTTTTTACAATTTTGTTATTGCAGGCAAGTGCAGATAGTTGCCTAAATTGAGGAATCAAGAGCTTAGTCATTCACATGAGTGGAAGAAGAACAATGAGATTTGAAGAATGTACAGTTGGGTACGAACGGGGAACCGATCAACCTTCGTCTGCATCGCTGCTACCGACTTGTGCTTCATGACTGGCCCAATAAGTTCTTCCTTCCGGACCCGACACCTTAACCCTGCTCAAGAATGAAACTCACAACGTCATTTTCACAAAACTTAGATTAGATTAGAATGTTAAATTTTCTTTCTACGCATGTCTACTGACCGCTCAAGTACGGATTTTCCTTCCTTGTACTTCTGGCTCTTATCGTGGGCAGTTTCCTGAAAGAAACCATCAAAACGAATAACAGCAGAGAAAGAAATGTATAAATCATGATAGTTCTAATCATGGCAAGTGATCTTACATATTTCCACCCCACTATCGATCCACACCCAACGCAGAAAATGTCAGCAACTGTGTGCAGTCCAGTCATCATCGCTCTATCTTCACACTCTCCGGAAAACACGTTCACTCTGTAATATGATTGGAGACATGAATCCTATATCAAAAACCAACTAATTGCAAGCATATACTGCTCAATGACAAATTTCGTTGACTGAGCTTGCAAACGAGCCCTTATTATCCTATTTCAGACGGCATTATCCCCCAACTTCCATACTTTCAGCGATGTTAAGACGTAATTTAACAGACTACAAATGAAAAATAAGACTCAGAGACTGAGTGCTGGAAGCTATTGGCAGCAATCCTCTCGTTGTATATAAATACAAGAAAAGAAAGCAGATTTTCATTGAAACGGATATAGAACAGTATCATGTGATCAATAAATCGCACATGCAATCAATAAATGTTTCTTGATCACGAGTAAAAACAAACAGAATACTCTTTCGCTATTTCAACATCTCGCCTGTAACTTCCATATCAGACATGGTAAAGGTGTCCAAATATTAAGAAAAACTTACACCTTACTGAAGAGATAAGCCTTCCCATGCCTGCTGTAAAAAGACTGAACGAAACACAGGCAAAACATGTGATCAGAAAATGCGATTGTATTCAAATTTGAAATTACCAATCAAGAGTTACTTGACGCCAAATGAATTGGGAAAATAAGTGGCAATTACAACAAAGAAGAACAGAACAAGCCTTAGTTATACCAAACTATTACCAACATGTATTCTAATAATCATCATCGTTTTATATACGTTGTCGTCAAAACTTTAAAGACGGCACAGACTATAACCATCTGTCAGTTCATTCTAATTACAACGCTATGTTCTCTTACATTACATTACTTGAGACAATATAGATCCAATCATTCACGGCCAAATGCTTCAAAAACTAGTTGTGCGCATGGACGTAAAGACGCATTTGAAAGCAATGAACAATGAAAACTGTGAAAGCATACACCACCATGTCCTCTCTCAGTTGAAAAGAGGAACAAGGCTTCATTTGGGTTCTAGCTGTCCTCTTCACTAAAAACTAGAGCCAAGTTCTTCCGGCACTTCCGGCCGCAAGAGAAAAAAATAAAATGCAGCATCATGTTGATCCAAACGCCTTCAATAACATCCCTTATCATCAATCCATATACTTCAACCGACACCCTAAGAAACTACGAGATACTTAATCAGATCTTCTGCTAATAATATCATCAAGCACCATAATTTACCCTTCTTACAAGTTACTTTACATAGATGATAAATATTGCTTTACATTTCAAGTCCAACAAAAACAAAACTTCCCAAAGTAACTAAACAAAAATCACAAAAGCAGACCAAGTAATACAGTTGACCAATCACACCGTCAAAGAACATGCACATCATCTCACAAGATTTAAAAAAATTAAAAAATTAAAAAATTATATTAAAAAAAAAACAATTAATCAAAACCCGGATGAAAAATTCAGCAGAAAATCACAAAAAAAGAGAATAAATTGCTACGGATTAAAGATTGTAAAAGATCAAATTAACCACCTTGGAAACTACGTCCTCACAAAGAGCAAGATGGGTGCGGCAGTGCTTGCAGCTGTAGATCTTCCCCTCTAGACTCACCACAAACAGCCTCCCCATGCCTCCACCGCACGCCCAGAAAATCCTCTAACCGCCAAAATTCCAAAACAAGATGAAGATTCAGGGAAATGGATCGTCGTTAATATCGAAGAAAACCCAGAACCAAGATTGATTTTTCAAGAAATGAATCAACTGAGAGAGAAAAAAATGGAAAAAAGGAAACCCAATTGAGGAAGAAAACGGCAGATGCAAGAAAAGAAAGAGAGAAAGAATTTCTGGATGATTATATTTTACCTTTGCCTGGTGAAGTCTCTGTTCTTGCAAGAAATGCGGATGGAGAAACGAAGCTGTCACATTTCACCTTCCCACATTTAAAGCACTTTTTATGTTAAAGTGGAACCTGACAAGACGTGAAATCTACGGTTTTTGCCCCTTACAACATAAAATATTCAATTATTTTTGTTTAATCTTAAAAATATTTTCATAGTTATTGTTTGTTTTTGCAAACCTCTGTTTTATACTTATTCAAATTTAAATCTACGCAGATATTATGTATGGTTTTCTTTCCGAGGAAAGATGGGAAATTCGAGTTTAAGTGCAAAAGAGAATACGCTATTTTCATATGGTTTTTATTGGGAATGTTTTAGAATAGAATTTAAAGTCAATCTGATCCTAATCTTTAGAAAATAAAATTCTGTAAAATTAAGCTATCCACTAAATTTTGCTAAGTTGCGCTAAATTTTAATGGCAAAGTTTTAACTTTTTACGATTTTTTATATGAACAGTTATTGTTTATGAAATTTGAACTTCTGATCTACTTACACGTTATGAGGGTCAGGTGTATCCAGCTTTCTTAGATAGAAACGTTTTGCAAGCTCTCAAAGGCCATCTAGAACTCGACATTTTCAAATTGGTACGCTATACCTATTACCTACCAAAGATTTGACTCAAGATATATTTATCAAAATAGATCTTGGGTAGTTTTATTTAGCTAGTCGGAATAAAGAATAAGTTGATGGGTTAAGATGCGAATATGTTGAGTGAGGGTTGCAAAATTCCAAAGGTTATGGAATCAATCTTGGACGACCATTTTATCATTTTTCCTTTTGGATGGTATTCACACTTTTTTTTATCTTTCACACATTATCAGTTCATTTATGTTTTTTATTTTTTTTTAATTTATTTGATTCAACGATAAAAAATTAAGAAAAAAATATGTGAAAGATAAAAAATACGTGTGAATAGCACTATTTTTCTTTTTCTTCAATTTATCTGCTATTATTGGAGATCTAGAGGGGGTGGGTGGGATGTGAGGATGTAAGACACGCTTAAGTTTCAATACAATAAAGTCGACCCCATTAATTGGACATTTTAGTATACGCTGTACTGATAAGATGTTTCAGGCAGCTAGTGCCCACTGAAATTGCTTTGTTTATATCACATATGTGAATACACTGTGCCAATGATTGAAGTTCAGGTGATACAAGGGAGGCTAAAATAAGTCCGTGAAGTTGAACCCATATCCTTTCTGAATTTTTATGTTTGGAGCCCCAGAATTTAGAGATTCAAGTCGTTGAAAAGTCAGATAGAGACATCGAAACTTTTAATTTGTGTAAGGTAAATCAATAACATAAGCTAATAAAGGCAGTAAAATGGGCTTCGAAAAAAAATCTGGAAAGATCCCAATTCCCTACAACTCCACAACTTCATTGAACATAAAATAAATCCACTAGTTCTTGGACCTAACAAAAGTCCACAACTCTTGAACACATTGTCCAAAATATGCTCATCGATTTGTTTGGCCCTTATTTTGGAGTAAAAATGCGCCACTAAGATCTTACTGAAAAGTTATTCGATAATAAGTAGATAGTTTCACACATGTTAAAAAGTTTTACGTAGATAGCTTCACATATGTTACAAAGTTTTACCACATATGTCACTCTTTTTTTTATTTGAAAGGTATTCTAAACTAATCCAAATTGTTGGAAGGAAAATTCAAATCCAAACATTGATACAAAGATCCAAATTGGTTACAACCTACATGTAAGACGTTTTCTTCATCTTCCATTTTTTTCTATTGATAAATTATTTATAAGATTGTTTGTAAAAAATAACGATCCAGTTATCTGTTTTTGTTCCATAATTATACATTTGTAAACACATTCAACACATCAAAGCATTATGAATTTACGAGTGTACAAAATCATAGCACAATACACATAAATATAGCGAACATATATAATATAAGTGTACTCTCAGTCTTAGTCTTGGGGTCTTGGGGTCTTGCATGACTAGAGAGGAAGATAATGAATGAAATTAAGCTTGACTTTCTGTTGAAGTGGGATTTATTTAATTATCTTATTTGTTAAACGTAAGCAGAAAACTGATAGGACCCTTTCCTGTGACAGCGGCTTGGATTCCAAAAAGGAGGAAGACGACCATGGCAAGACGGGCATGCTTGATCTCAGCCAGTTGAAGCCTTTCAAACTCATCCGGGTCGGCGGCCAAACCCAACGGGTCAAAGAACTTGCCACCCGGGTACAGCCTCTTCTCCGGGTCAAGCTCGGCATTTCTCTGGAACTCAATGTAGCCAATCACCAACACCTCTATCCATATCAATGTGGTGATGGAGAAGGGAAGTGGAAGACCTAGGTAGGACGATCCCTCGATCAACTCAACCTGTTGAGTCCATCAAAAGAAATTAGTAACCAAGTTAACAATAACGTTGAGTCAAAAGTGATGAGTGTTATAGATATAAGAAGATAAATCTCAAGTTGTAGGGCAACTTTTCTCATAATATGAGCCTTAATAGGAATTTGGATTCTCTCCGGTCCTTAGTATCTGAAGTCTAAGAACCAGGAAATTCGGGTCCTTGGTTTGTGAGAATCGGAGTTCTTGGTTTGTGTAAAATTAGTCAGCGAAATGAGTTAATAGAGATCGTCGGATTTAATTTAAGTGTTTCATAATTTCTATTTCTCGTTATCGTGGAATTCGTCATCAAGATGGATTGCCCTTACGCGGTCAATGAACTCATACTAATGCTAGGACTTTTCGCAAGCAAATTCGGAAATGAAAGAAGTCTACCGAAAGCCCTTGGTACTTGTCTGATCAATCACACTGATAGCTTCAATAGTTCACTGAATTTTTTTTTTTTACCGGTTACTAATCCGTATACGTATAGTAGGCCTCCTTCTCCACTCCAATAGTGGCTCAGCTTGGTCTCGCTCCCTTCACCCGACTATCATATTGGCTTGGCTTCATCCTAGAAGCTACTGCTGTCTAGTCTTTTAACTCCAGACAGTGAGATACAGAGGATTTGTGTCCGCTTAATAAGTTTAAGTAAATTAATGTGAGATGTACATAACAAAATTGGGTATGGCGTAGCTATAATTTTCATCATCTCTATCATCATATTCATCGTCAGTAAGGACCTTACCTTAGGAGTTAGGACCATCATGTTTTTTCGCATGGATTATAAGAAGGCACGATGGGCAAAAAGCTTGTGCCAGATACAGACACGCACACTCAGCTCCTTATAAAATACTTACAAAATACGAGATACGGCCTATATGTCATAAATACAAATGAAAAAATATATATTTTTTCATGTCACCAAAAAAATAAGAAGAAAAGCTTCAATGACCATATGCACATCTTCTGTCACTAACTCACTTCTAACTATATCGATATTTTTTTCATTTAACTACTTATTGCTTGGTGTTTACTAAAAATAGAACCATACATTTATATTGAATTTTATTTTCTTAAAACAACATTTTGAATTACTAAAATCTAGACTTTATACTTGATGGAAAAGTCAAATAAATTACAATAGACTATTTTATCTGTTACGCACATACAATGTAACTTAATTGACCTTTTCTTTGCCATGCAACACCAGTGAGTCCCTCAACAGCAAGAGCACCAAGCGCTCCCAGCATGGCCCACCTCCCTTGAATCAGCTCGCACTCCCTGAACCTAAGCAGCCCAAAAACCTCTGTGTGCGGCTGAAGCGGCGTCGGATTCACCTTCGCGGTTTCAGTCCTTGTCCCGATGATGTCACCCGCCACATTTTTTGCAAGGTTCTGGTCGAGTCCGTCGTAATCAAACTGCAAGTACTCAGCGGGCTTCCCCAACCCAAAGGGGTCGAACCCGCGGTCCCAGGGAAGCGACCCGTCAAGCCACCATGGCCGCTTCTTGTGCCTTATTGTTGCTTTTGCTTTGGCGGCGCACGTTGGAGCAATATTAGAAAATATGAAAAATAACAATATAATTCCAATGATAATAATCATAAAGAAATTCACAACGTCAATTATGTATGAGATTACTATAAACAACTAAAGAGAAGGTTAGAAAAACTAACAAACTTGAAGATTGAGGCTTGCATAAATGCAATGTCGTAAAGACAGAATTTTGCCCCTACTCATGCTTGTAGTTCAGTAGACGTCCGTCTCCCAGAATTCAACAATGTATAATTCGAAGTCAAAGCACTTCATATTAAGGGTAGTACTGTAAAATAACGAGTGGTATTTGTTGAGAGTTGTCCCACATCGGTGATGGATAAGGTTTGCTATGTGCTTATATGATATTGGGCTACTTCCCATATTGCCAATTGGTTTTATGGTGAAACCTCAATTTCATCATGGTATCAGAACGGGTTGTCCTCGTGTGAAGACATACAGCTACACACGTTCCACGTCACCCAGTTGTTATCCACGTGTATGCTTGAAAATCGAACACACGTGCAGAGGTGTGTTAAGAGTTGTCCCACATTGGTGAGGAACAATGTTTGCTATGTGCTTATATGATCTTGGGCTACTCCCCATATTGCCAATTGGTTTTATGGTGGAACCTCAATTTCATCAGTATTGTTAGAGTTTGTTATAAGAGTTAGTTATACCTTACTTAGTCATTAAGATAGGTGGTTACTCTTATATGTAAATGTTGGTATACATATATATATGTTAACCCTAAAAATTACAAAACCTACGTAGCGCGCAGGCCGAGTAACTAATAAGCTAATTACGTCATTCGGTTAAATGCGGGGCGTGCCAACTCATCGGCCGAGGAGTAAAATTTGTTGATATTGCGTTGAGCGCATTGATGACTTCTTTATCTTGCGACTGCAGCCGAAGAAGAAACAAATCTTGGCCTTTGGATTCTTGAGCCTGAAGACAAGGCTGCTGGTTCTGTGAAGTTCACGAATCGTCGGCGTCGGATTTGGTCACAATGATTATATTCGTGAGAGTATAAGCACGACGAATCGACACCATACTATATGGACACAAATATTCAAAAGTGATGTATGTCTTGATGGTAAATATGGTTCGGCCGTCAGAATGCCGAACTCTGAAACTCACTTATGAGTATCCAATCATAAAATCACTCGGCGTTCAATGCGCCGAATGTCGTAACTCGTAACACCTTACTTCGCCGAGAAGGCTAATAAGATGACCTATGCCGATAAGGATTTGGAAACCTTTCTCGACTGAGACATGGATAGGTAATCAGTCGGCCTCGACGCAGTGCTGTTTATCCAAACTGAAGGTGTCTCACGATCGATTGATTCTACGGCGACAGTGTTGTTTATCCAAACTGAAGATGTTTGCCGGTTGCTTTCACAGTGTTGTTTATCCAAACTGAAAGTGTGTTGACGAAAAAAAAAAATGAAAAATCTCAAGTTATTTGAGAGCGTTGCGCAGGGCAATTGTGTGTTGAATCGGCGGTCCTCCATTGTTGCACGATGTCTTGCTTTTATAGCACCAAATCCTCCTTGAGATCGAGTCAAGATCTTATTTAGATTGGGACTTCTTGTTCTTTCCTAACTCTACTTCGACCAATCATATTCCTATTAGGATTTTGAACTCACCTCTTTCTTAGGCCATATTCATTGCTGGTAGAGAATCCAAATTACACTAGGACCCCTTATATCACGACTTCTTCGACCTCTGTGCTCATTCGAACAATTCCTTCTTGCGACAGGACTCGACCATCCTTGCTGAACGGCCCAGGATCACCAGGTGGCCCATAGCATATTTGGAAAAGTTTTGGGCCAAACATAACCCATACTCGGCCCAATAATATTATTTTGGGCCCAAACAATACCCAAGTGTAATCTTATTCAATATATGAAATACACAATCTTATTTTACTCTCTCTCTCTACATCTTTCTCTCACTAAATCTCTCTCTAGATTCTAACACTTCAATCTTCGGACTCTAGTAAACTTCATATATTCTGTACTTTCAAGACATGACTCGGATTTCTACTAAGACATTGGAGAAAATTCTTCTCTATTTTTAATTCTCTTAGACAGGTGGGATGCTTGAGTTTATATAGAACTCAAGCCACCAATTGTTGCCTAAAGTTCCAACGAACAGATAGAACTCATGAATTTGAATTCAACTATGACACATGACTTTTATTTTTCATTCATACAAAAATTAAATATTATAATATTAATTATAGTATATAATTTCCAACAGTACAGGTGATGGTGACTTCTTATTGCCGAAACTGAGACCATCTCCAACCGAGAGCTGGCCAGAGGACTCATTTTAGCCCTACCCTCTAAGATATTAATATTTTAATGAACAGTATATTTGCCTCCGTCTCCAACCGAGGGCCAAAGGGCTCGTTTTAGCCCTGTCACAAAAAACCGTCTTTAACCGATGGCCAAAGGGTCATAGGGCCAAACATAATTTATTATTTAAACTTAAGAACTACAACAACTTAAATTCAAATCCAACAACAACTTAAATTTAAAAACTACAACGGTAATTGGCCCAAAAAACCAAAAAAATAAGAACTTAAATTTAATGAATGGTTTAGGTATTTATAAGGAAAAAAAAATTAGAATTTTTAAGAATTAAAAAAAAAAAAAAATTGAATACAACGGCTAGCTGACTAGCCGTTGGATTCAAATTTTTGGCTAGCCCCAGGCTGGTTGGGTGGCTACATGTGACCAACCCTTTGGCTATTTCAGATTTCGTGGGGTCCATAAACCCTTTGGCCTAGCCCTCGGTTGGAGACGGTTTTCGAACTATTTTCGGCCCTCTTGACAGTTCGGTTGGAGATGGCCTAAAGCCTCCGAAGCCACCAAGACGGGCTTGGAAGAGTCCGAAACTGGGCTCTTGGTTTCAGAGTTGGGATCCAAAGAAGTGGGAGGTAACGGCAGCTGTGGTGGCGGCCATTGTCTAAATATGGAGTGGGGGTGGGACTGTAAGTGGAGAGTTATATAAATGTAAAAATAGTGGGCTTGTGAAGGATGAGTGTGGAATGCGAATGTTTAATTTTAGGCCTTACCTTTTGGCAAAGCCTTATCTCTTGGGTATGCATGCGTGTACTATGTAATGTATGTAGGTGTGGGATATTCCTTCTTCACATAGCTAGTTAGAGTACGATCTCTTCATAGCAGCTCGAAAAGTGGAGAAGATTTTTAATGTAACTATTATACTATCACGTAAAATTATCAATCTACTTACATTAGAATACGCAAATCTTTTATTAATATTAAGTTTTAAGTTAATAACATATCAATTATGTCGTTTACGTATATTATAATTTACATAAATTAATAATGTCACGGGATACTGTCACCATGGCAATATATTTTCTCAATATATGGGAGCATTGTGCTTCTTGAATCCATTGTCATTGTCTCTTTCTCTAATAGTAAAAATGAAACCAAAGCCCAGTAAACAAAGGCCTTGAAAGTTGGAAACACCCATGTATGATCCCCACCCCCATATTCCAAAGTCCATTGAGGTCCCAACCCGAGTTTTTGAAAGTCCAATGATGGATGCTAAAAACTTTTCATGCATTCTTCTAATTTGACGGCAAATAAAAAATGTAAGGTACTGTAGTTGAAGTGATTAAAAAATTTATCAATGTATTGAGATTTTAAGCTTGATTCTCGTTTTTTTTTTATTATTGTTGTATAAAAATAAAAGATAAAATAGAAATTCTAAAAGCCTATAACTCTTGAATCATGATGGTAAAATCGGATATTTTATGTTATCTTATACATATAATATAGAAGGAAAATTGTTCGTGAAACTTTGCATAAAACCAAAACTACTAAACATAACATACTGACTCCCATCGTATGATTATTGGTGTGTAGTGTACGACAATCGACTTACAAAGTGAACTGTTCAACTCACTCATAAATGTGTATTAGAGTATGTACTTACACGAGACGAAATGGTACCCTATCAAAGCCAATTTCATTGAATAGGTTGAATAACGAGAAATGCTAAAGCGATTCTTAAAAATAAGATTTTTCATAAATTTTATGTCACCTTATGTTTTTAACATAATATTAGAGTCTTAACACCTGACTGTATTTCCTCTCTGTTTGGTAGATAAAACTTTGACTCTGCTTTTGCTGCCATCCAATCAAAACCCATCGAGTATCTTCTGTGTATGTATACATGGAAGGGGATCCTCTTTGTATCTTTTACCAAATCTTATCAATCAACAAATCCAGACTCTTATAATTTAATCTAATTGCTAAAACAGGGGGTTATCTTTAAAAATTATAATAACTTTAACCGTTTGATCAAATTTTAAGAATTTGAATTTGTTGATTGATAGAATTTGGTGAAAGAAATATGAAGATGATCATTTTCCTGTATACATGTAGCATGCCGAGAGGCCAAAAAAAAAAAAAAAAGTGGTCAACTGCATCAATGGTTCCAAAAAAGTTTACGCGTGTCAGCTGCTAGACTTTCCACGGACATATCTTCTTGGCATCTCTCTCCCTCTCTCGAGAAATTATGGACCTGATGACTTCCCACATACATATCTCTACTTTTTAGGTTTTTGGTTTCTTAACTTAGCTAGCTTTACTCTCTCTCTCTCTCTCCCCTTTCCCCTGTTGCGTTCCCTTTTCTGCAAAACCAAGAGGTATGCGATTCTTCCATCTGTTTTTACTTTTCTCTCAGATCAATTTATAAATTTTATCACTTTTGTTCATATTTTCAGTATCCTGATCATTTGTTTGCATAATTCACTTGCCTGTTGACAATTTTAACCATCTGGGTTGGTGATGGTTCTATTTTTTCTTCTAGTTGTTTTATTTCTTTGATCTGGTATTGATAGTTCTGCTTGGCTGCTGAGAAAAAAAAGTAGAAAGTTTGTTTTACTCTTATGTCAGTAGTATAACTTGCTTAAATTTCCTGGAAAGTTGAAACTGAATGGTTTGACTTATTTTTTATTTCTCTGCTCACAGATTTAGCAATGGTTTTATGAGGGTTTGGATTTAATGTAAATATAGCATGGTATCGTAACTTTAGATAACTCGAAGAACATCCTCAAAAGAAGAAGGAAGAGATTAATAACTTGATGAAAAGTCATAATTAAGGAAAAGATTAATAGTTTGATTAAAGGGAAAGTGTTTTTAGCACTTCAAAAATGTCATTTGCACTCCCTCCCTCTGTATTTTTCTGTACATTAGCTTGGAGTGCTTAATAACTTTTTACGAGGACAAATAGCAGCTCCCTTGTTATTGGGAATATTTTTGCTCACCACCCTCAAGTGATGGCGATACTCATCAGCCTATTTATCACCGTTGAATGAGTTTGAATTTTGAGATCTGTGTAGTAGATAGACACAAATCTCAAAATTTAAACTCATTCAACGGTGATAAATAGGTTTAGAGTGGTGAGCAAAAATGCACCCCCCTGATTATTATTGATAATTAGTATATTTTCTAAAGGTAATATGCCCATTATGCAGACTGAATTTTCACCCGAGTGTTAAATTAGGGCTTGAACTTCTTTTTGGCCAATTTGGGCTGCGTGCTTCTTACAAGGGAAATGATTTTCACATATCCAATGGCCAAAAGAAGGGTGTGTATGGTGAGAAAATGGATTGTGAAAATCATTTCCCTTTTTAAAATGGGCCAATGTAGGGCCTACGACAACTTTTCTGGATGTCATCTATTATTACGTCCAAAATGCCATGTGCACAGGTTTCATCCGTTGTTACTACAAAATCTGTTTTCTTTCTGTTGGACTTCCCAGTGATGTTTTAATCGAATTGTATGTTTCCAGAAAGCAGTCTGTTGAGAATGAAGGCTTCCAAAGGCAAAGGACCTGTAAGGAAGGACAAGAAAGAAGTATTAAAGCCTGTCGAGGAGATGTAAATTTCTTTAATTGATATTAACTCTATATGAACGCCTTTCTTGGGTGAAACTTTAGGTTAATAGGTAGTGAGGCAGTGTCAAATGTGAATGTTAAATAGCTGTCCTCGAAACGTAATATCATGTTTAATTTTCATCAATTCAGAAAGGTGGGAAAGCGAAAGGCCGCAATTGAGGCTGACAAGAGTCGCCGAAAACTTGCTAAGAATGCAAAATTGGGCAAGAAGGACCCCAATAAACCAAAGAGACCAGCGAGTGCTTTCTTTGTTTTTCTGTAAGTACTCTCTTTATATGAGATGGCAAGGGAAACATCGTAGACTTTTTAATGAATCTTATAATAAGTTATTGTTTAATCATTTAATGTAGAGAAGAGTTCAGGACGGTTTACAAGAAAGAGCATCCGAATGTGAAAGCTGTGTCAGCTGTAAGCATCTTACCATAGTTTATGTTTTATTTAGTAGAAATGTCAGTTTTAAAGTTTGGTAGGTATCCCAACTTCAGTTGGATATTGATGAGATTACTGGATGCTTTGAATGAAGGTGGGGAAAGCTGGCGGAGAAAAGTGGAAATCTATGTCACCTGCGGTAAGTCTGTACTCTATAGTATCTTCTGAAAGTAACAGTATTGGGATGTATGGAGGATGATATAAAGTGCTCTCAGTGGACGTAGATATACACAAAGCAATTTGATGACTTTGGAAATTTGTCATGTGACATAGCCATTGCCATTCGGGTAAATGGCTTCGTAGTTGTTGCCTGCCTGATGACTTTAAAGGACAGAAGAGTCGAATGTGAATTTTCATCTTCGATTGTGTACCAAGTTGGGAATATAGCACAATATTAAAATAGTCGGTGCGGAAAGGATATATAAGTTCTTAGTTTCTGTAAGCTCAATTCTCTTTTGTAGATTCAGTCCAGGTCACAATTGATTGGTTCCTTGCTTTTATTGTCTAATTTTTTTTTTTACTGGGCCGTGATTGGTAGGAGAAAGCTCCATATGAAGCTAAAGCAGCAAAAAGGAAAACGGAGTATGAAAAACTTATGAAAGCTTACAACAACAAAGAGGTATAAATGGACTTGCACTTTAATAGAAACAAACCCTTCATCCTTTCTCTATGTTTAGTTTCTGACTGTCACGTCTTCTATCAGGATGACACGGAGGATGACGAGGAAGAAGTTGCTGAAAGGTCAAAACCCATTGCGAAGATTGTGGAAGAAGAAGAGAGTGCCGAGGTAACCTTCAAAACTATATATGAATCCTTGCACAGGTGCGCTGTACTATTGCTTGCTTTGTCGATTCTGATATTTCTTGTATCTTGCATGCATTCTGATCTTTCATCTGATGTTATCAAGATCTTATAATAGGGGAAAGTTCAAACGTATGAGCTGCGCTTGCTTATAAAAATGACTCGTAAAATCAACTGCAAGTTGTGTTGTGAAAACATAGTTCATGTTGTTGTGAGTCAGTTAGATTGTTAGATACAGTTTTTATCTGAACAAAATGAATTGCTCCTACTTCTAATCGGGAGAAACATTGATTGCTCATACGGTCCTACTATATACTCTACACTACTGTATTGCCAAAATTGGATTTCTAATGTTCATCCTATATTTCGCATTACAGTCCAATCCCTGGCAAGTCGAGAAATTATAAATCAATTTTTCCCTAGTGCCATTTCTTCTTGTTCATACTTGACTAATTAGGATTACTTTTACGGGGGTTTCTCTTCTCATCCTAACTTAAACTGGAATTTCAAATTGCAGGAAGATGATGAAGAAGATGACGATGACGACGAAGATGAAGACTGATCTGGCATTCCATGTTGATCCATAATATCACCTCCCACGGGACGGGACTTGTGCTATGACACCTTTAACTTATGTTAAATATGCTTGTTTATTTGAGAGGGATGCATCAAGCATGCCGAGCCCTCGCATCTTCCAGGTAGCCTTGCTAGGTTACATCATCGTTGTATATATCGTGCTTACACCGTGTTCATTGGCCGTGCGTGATATGATATCTATGTTCTTCTATTTACTAAATCAGAGATGAATGGGTTGGTCTTTAATTTGGAAGGTGGAAAAAGTTATGAATCGTTCTACAAGTTTATCTTCTGATTCCTTATATATCAGCAATTCTCTTCCCCAGCTCACTTTCCTGAAATGACTTGGTTTCAGTTTCCTAGTCATGTATAGAGTGTAGGGGATGACAATTCTACCCAACAAACCCGACTCTTGCCGGGGTGTAGACCGGGCGGGTTTGCCGGGGAATCGGGGATGTGTGTTAAGCGGGGAAATTTCATTACTTTTCAGTTTGATCGTCGTTGGGAACATTCAATTCTGTGGGAGGGGGATAGGAAGGGAAAAATCCGACCCTGCGTCCTACTGCCATTGTAGTACGGGAGAAATTCTTGTGTCTGGTTAGAGGACATGACCATCCGTCCGCTCATACACAACCAAGTGGATCCCCTCTATTGGGTTGATAAAGTGGGTTCGTGGTGCACCTAACAGACTGGGTCCGCGTTGGGGGGTACGGATGACCTTATCTTCTAGAGGATATGTCTCTAGCCCCTGGGAAATGAAGGATGACATGATATGGAAACATTTTCAAAGAGAGGGCCCAACCCAATTAGGCAAAACGAAAATACTCCCAAATACAAATTGTTACCACCCAAAGAAAAACAAAACAAATCCATGGTTAGTATTTTCTCCTCCTCACTAAAAGGAGACGAGCAGGTGGATTCGTCACAGTAGTTTACAATTTCAAGACCAGGAAGTTCCATGGAGGCAAATCTATTGTCAGTAATTTGGGATTAGGGTTTATATGAAATTATGAAAAAGCTAACCACTTTCCAAGCAATTATCTTTGTCTACAGTATGAGCTTTATTAGTCAGATCAAACAGATAGGATATGCTGTAAAGAAAATAGAGTAGACATCGTAGGAGAAATTAATCACGGAATTTCCATGATTTGACACGTGTCGATGTTGGAAACATGTTGTGAGAAAGTGAGAAATGTGATGGTCACAGGGTCGCAAGTAACAAAATGCAGCATGCTTTCCCTAGTGGACTACAAGTGCTTTCATCATGATTATTATTATATGATTACATTCCATGCATAATCCTCAACACTAATCAGCTTCAATGTCATTTCCCACCCCAAAACCAACTTACTAGCTAGTTGCTTTACTTGGTAGGGGTCTTGTTTCAATTTTTGGACGTACACTTATTTGTGTCAAAACTTTATCGCAGTGATTAACGGACGCACGTTTATCAATTTAATAACTTTGTTTCTTGTATTGTAGCAAAATTTATAGGGGGTTTTGCATTTTTTCACTAACCATTCATAATCAGGTCGGCCCTGGCTAATTAGGGGCCCTAGGGAAAAAACTAAGTTAGGCCATTACCAATATCAAATTTTTTTATAACTTAACCGAACCCTCCCTTCCTAATGTATATATTGTTGTACTATATATAAAATATATATATATATATGTATAATTTCCATAATATTCAAATGTGATGCAGCAACCATCTTCGATCTGTCTTTTCTTTTTGTGTTCCATCTCACCTTCACACCTGAATATGGTTATTTTTCGACAAAACTGGCGCGCAATCATGCAATAGAAGAAAAAAAGAGCCTATTGGTAAATTTTTCACCATTATTTGCTAGAAATAGTATAAATGTGCTGAGAGGTTTTGTTTTGGGGTTGAGAAATAAACTCGTGGATATTTTATATGTTAGTTTATGGCATAAAAATTATAAAAAAAAAAAAAGAAGAAGAAGAAGAAGTAGCACTAAAAAGCTTTAGAGCAATTAATCCAATTCACACTTTGCACACAATTTAATTTACAATGGTTTGAGGAAAAAAAACTTTGAGTTGAAAAGAAATGGCATCAGACTGAGAAAAGAAAAGAAAGAATAGAGCTGGACGATAAGGTAAAATTTGAAAGGAAAAAAGAAGGAGGAGAAAATATCAACCAGTACTCCGCAAGAACTTGAACCCAAAACCACTCAACACAGCCATCACAGGGTGGTCTAGTGGTTGAGAGCGAATTTCAGGTCCGTCTTCCGCACAACACGTTTTGGGTTTGATTCCTAGCCTTGGTAGGTCACACGATGATGGCTAGAGGAAGGTTGAAATACCTTTGTGAGCTTCTTGACCCCAAAAAAATATATTGTCATAACGAAACCACCAACACGTCCCATTTTCAAAGAAAAGAAAAAAAACCGCTTGACACAAATTAGTAACCCTTAATGGTAACAGTCCTTGTTTTCTTAATATGTATTTGTAAGAACTCTAACTAAGATATTTTTTTTAGGCCCCTCTATCGATTTGGGGCTCATGGCGGTCACACTCCCTGGCCTACTCCTGGACTCGGCTCTGCTCATCATCACCATGACAAGTTGAAGATACAATCAAATGATTGTAAGATAAAAAAACGTATATACGTCGCAACACATTATTTAATGACTTTTTTTCGACCGAGGTCGTGACTTGTCCCTTCTTCTATTTATTTGTTTGGCGAACGATCTCTAACAATTCGAATTGTTGCTAACAAATCAACTAAATTTGTTTATATTTTTCAAATGTTAGTAACAAGTTTTTAGCTCAAGAACCAAATATTTTTATGATTGGAGTTCAAATATATAGCAAGTAAACAAAAGTGGGATGCCGACAGTAGATATATCATAATGAATCTATGCTAGCAGCAAGTCCTAGACTACGAGTAGTATATAGTAGGCAGCTTTGTCCCCCATTTTTCAAGCAACAACCAAGATGGCAAGCATCTCGAATTCGAAGGATAAATCCTAACCCTAATCCTGTTTTATTTTGCTGTTTCAACCTTTTTCCTGCAATTAAAAAAAGATTGTAGAAATATTATAATCTTAATTACTAGATAAAATTAGTGGATTATAAAATGATTGGGGGAGGTGTTGAAAGTCTTAAATGCTGCAGTAGTGAACCAAATGACAAGGAATTAAGGGACATGGTTTTGAATTATGAGGCGGGGTTTAGGATTAACAGTAATACCACTTGATTAGAGACAAAGCAACCAAACCCTAAAGATTTAAAGGGGAATTGGCAGACAATGTAAATCAAGTTGATCAGTAATTAATATTTTAATGAGGTTTTTGGTGAGATTTTCTAAAGATCCATTATCTCCAATGAGATTTTTTTTTTTTTGGTCAAAATCTCCAATGATAATTGACTCCAATGGATTTGGTAACCATGAACATTGTTGAATTATTTAATTTAAAGGTTTGTGCAATTTTGTACTGGTCCAAATAATTTTTCCTTTTCCCTAACTAAGTATACTACGTAAAATTGTATTATACCATTTGATAAAAATAAAAAATAAATAAAATTGTGTAAACCCCATTACCCCAAAGTTGGAGAGATTTTTCATGTGTCCGGGCTACTAGCACATACATCATATGTCATTATACGTGCAGGGATACTTGAAAAAAAAAAAAAAAATTCTTTCTTCCACTTGTATAATAACATAGAGAGTAATGCTAGAGAAGACTAAATTTATAGATAAAATTTGTAAACTAAATGACTTGACAGTTGTTTATTGGATTATTACTTAAACATCGATAAACGTACTCATTATCTATTATTGACACATCATTTTATTTGCAAATTTTGTTTACAAATTTAATCTCTCTAGTATTGCTCTAATACATATAACATATTATTTCGTGTTTTGGGCATACTAAAATCTTTTTTTTTTATTATTATTCTTTTTTTTTTTCAACAAAACTTTTTGTAAATTGTAATTATTCTCCTCCATTTGGCAAATGGAAAAGACAGAAAAAGAATCCTACTGTGCAACTCGCACAATTCCATACCCTTTTTTTCCACTCCTGGCTAGGTAGCCAAGACAATTTATAGTAGCTAAGATATATATAAACTAGTGCTCGATCCAGATGTGGGAGAGTGGGACACCAACCAACCAATCAGTCAAATAGTTATGAGATATATATATTTTTTGGTTACTTACTCAATCCAAATTTAAATAGTAAATTAGGATCTTTTATTTTGGCTTTTACCATAATTTAGTTCAAGGTATAAACAACTATCCAAATGAATATTTTTAAAAATTGGGAGTTGGAAATCTTGTGGAAATTGAAGTGCATGCTATCAGTTAAGATTAATCACTTGATATTAGTTTCTCAAGTAGGGTGGCTTTGTGCAATTTGGTGGAGGGAATGAGGAGTTGGGAATTTATCTTTTCTTGATTTGGTGTTTGTTAATGCTGGGAATTTAATGAATTTGTAGTTGCAATGCTTGATTTCTTTTGGATACAGTTGCAGAGCTTGAAAGTTGCTCGAATAATGGTGACCTTTTGAAAATGTTGCTCGTGGCATTTGATAGCAATTGTGTTGTTTTTATTATCCAACATCTGCAATGCGCTAAACGTTTTATTATTTTTATACTACATTGTTTATACTAGTCAATCTCGTAAAGCTAATTTAGTCTAAAATAATTAATCATAATGAATGGGGGAGAGATTCTATATCCAATACAAAAGTACGTACTACTTACTAGATCAAAGAAGGCACAAAGAAAACTATTTTGTATTGAATCGAAGGTTAAAGACCAAGGTTTGAATGTAACTAAGTTTGTGAAACAAGCGACAAACAAACTAGCTAGTTGTGAATCAATTGGAAGCTACAAGCCAAGAACGAACGCAGAGAGAGAGAGAGAGAGGTGACAAATGCCATGGGAGTGCATGTGAACCTTGTTCCGGAAGTACGTACATATCGCCAGTGCGCTTTCTCAAATCCCAGTCTCTTCCATCTCTCTCTGATGAATGCGTCTTTGTATGAGTCGGTGCTTGTCACTATAAAGACTAGAACCCCACACGTGCATTTCTGACAGACACACCCAAATCGTATCACGTCAGACTGGTGATCTGATAGAGTTATTTGCAGAGACGTTGAAATGTGTACACACTTACACGAAAGCACAGACACAGAGGGATCTTGTATTCCCAATAGGATCTCTTCTGATTTTTAGATGAGGATTTTGAAA